CCAGGACACACAAGCCAAGTTCATATAATTACCTCCTTTAATTCCAAAGGCTGGTGCGTCATGGTTGAATCAGTCTTTTGTGATGAGTCTGAGATCTCCAAATGACTACAAACTTCAATCCTCCAGGTAAACAGCTCAGACAGACACTGGCTGCTTTAGTATTGGACAAATTCTCCCATAGCAGAGCCTCGCCAAGTCAGCACAGATATTTCACCACAAATCTACTTTCTCCTCGGAGCAGGCCAAGTACCATGGCCTGGGACAGAGAGGATGAGGAGGAGGAGGAGGAGGAGGAGGAGGAGGAGGAGGAGGAGGAGGAGGAGGAGGAGGAGGATGAAGGGGAGTGGGGCTGCTTCCTGCTGGGTGGATGTCCCTGCATTGTAGGTAATGAGGCCGTAATGAGCTACCTGGCTCTGAACGCACCGGCCTGGTTAAACATTCATGGAGCCCAGGCTGCAAACGTTCACTCAGCGCTGCACCTGAGTGTTGAACAGCTCCTCTATGTGTTTAAGGAAGCGTGTGTGTGTGTGTATATCTGTGTGTGTGTGTGCAGATATGTAATACCAGGATGTAGTAACTCTATCCTTCCAGACACCCGTCCTCACCCCCCCCCCCCCCCCCCCCCCTCACAAAATTACTGCACAGGTATTCGATTACTGATCTTTGATTAGGCAGATGCATTTCAGACTAATTACTAACCGCTCATTACAGCGAACTAGTTTGGGATTAAACCATTGTATATTCTGAAACACATGCTGTCAAAATCTGAAATGAATCTCTGACCTAATGTAATGTGCTACGATAATTGTCAAGCACTCTGTTGGTGCCATCAACAGTGAGAAACTTTTAAATGAAAAAAAACAACATTTATTTAAATGATTACTCTTACCTATTATTTTGTTTGTATACGTAATACATACAGTAATGACAAAGTATTTTCATTTATTTTAAATACTTTTTTGCAATATTTCTTTCATCACCTTCTGGAAAATTGATTACTTTAGAGTCCATTGCATACTTTGAATAAGTTAAATTAACTAAGAAACAAAACTAAGAACAAAAATGTTATCAGTATTATCAACAAATTCCTGCCTTTATTTAAAAAAGTGCAAAAGTAAAAGTACTCATTATGCAGATTCGCCCATTTCAGAATATAATATATTGTATGTTTTGATTATAATTATTGATACATTAATGTGTTTATCAAAGCTGGTAAAGGTGCAGCTAGTTTGAATAACTTTGTATACTGCAGAGTAGTTTGTGAATTTACTCCAGGTGTAAATAAAGTCAAATTTAAGTGTTGATTATATTTCACATCATTAATCCAAATCTGAGAAGTAACTAAAGGTATTAAATAAATATAGTGGAGTAAAAGTACAATATTAACCTTTGAACGCAGTTGGGTAGAAGTGCCAAGTAGCAGAAAATGGAAATACTCAAGTAAAGTACAAGTACCTCCAAATTGTACTTAAGTACAGTACTTGAATACATGAACGTAGTTACTTTACACCACTGATTTTTAACACATTGTATTTTTTAAATTGATATCACAATAATACATTGCCTCCTGGAGCTTTTATCTCATGTTTGTCTTGTGGTTCTGCTGTGACTTGTTTGCAGGCGGCGTAACGTTGCCCTCTCATTCCGTCTGTTTAAAATGTAACTGTGCTTCCTGTTAGCATCAACAAAGGCGTCTTACGTTACTGGCTAAAGACTCGCCAAAACACGCGGTAACATAAGAGAGCGTGCTGGAAAAATCCTCATTAACATACTGCAATCCATTATGCAAATACTGAAGGGTTTCTACTCAATCTTTAAAGAATACCACTGCTCTCTTAATCAGTGCCCAATAAAGCAAACACACACACACCATGCTCACCATATGAGCCGTGGCAGCAGCTGAAACACAGTTTTCCAATATCAATTGATGAAAAAAATCCATATCACAAAAATCCAATCATATGTGTTGGACAAATGTTTGTTTAATTCATTCTTGCAATTTGAATGCAGTGGCAACTTTTTCTACATTAAATGTGTATTGGGACATGAACGTTTTTAATCAAGTAAGATTATTGGTATTTGGAAGTTTTTTCTTTTCAAGATGGCAAGTACGATAACGGCTAAATAAAAACGAACGGACAAACAGGCACGAAACTGCTCTTATATTACTTCAATATATGTGTTATTGATACAAAAAAGCTTTTTTCAATATGATACATTATCTCTGAAATGGCTGTGTCTAAACTAAACACAGTATCATTTGATACAATATAGAACATTTATAGGATAAAATATGTTTTAATTTAAAAAAAAAGAATTGGCCTGAGAACCATAGGGTTGCCGGTTCAAGTCCCTGAACAGACCTAAAAATATGGAGTGTGGACCTGTACTTGAAGAAGTCGCAGTTCACCTCCTGGGCACGGCCTTGATGCCCTTGAGCAAGGTACCGGACACCGGCAATCTTGAAGGACAAGCTGGATAACTTTTTGTCCTTGACCCACCACATGTCCAAATAAATATTCACAGGCCCAATTAGTCCCAAACAGCTAAACGTTCAAGTAATCCTTTATTTATATGAGCAAAACTGATTGTTGTCCACAGGGCATGACTCCTAAGACCGAAACAAGCTGTGAGGCTATTGTTTTCGGAAGTAGAGCATTCAGTGAAAAAATCATACAATCACTAAAGTACAAAATCAGCTGTTCAAGACAAAACGTGCATGCAAATGGAATTTTTGCGGGATAGACATACACAGTAGATATGTAATCAATATAAAGACTTATATCTAAATAAGCTTACCTTTTTGTCCATGTCTTCAAATCAGTAAAGCTCTGCTGATGATCTGTGTGAGTCTGGCCGAGCAGCTGAAGTGACCACAGGATGTGAGGACAGAGGGGACGCGATGTATCTTCTACCTGTATTTATGACCGTCCCATAATGCAGCAGCCTCAGCATGTCCTCACAGTGTCCTACTTTTCTACAGATTTTATTTTCAGGTCGGCCTTATTCACTCGCAGGGCTGCAGAGGACAGAAAGCGTATATCAGTTACAGACATAACGTCCTCCTGTGGCTATAAGTACTCCATTTCAATTGGGAAATGTACATGTTCCATGTGTAATCAAATAAATCATGTTATATGCTGTAGACAACTGGGTCACCACATTTTAGGCCATATCCATGCAACTTACCGCATTGTACATTGACTCAAGTACTGTACTGTGAGTAGTAGTACTCTATCTTAGTTTTTCCTTTCTATGGCACTTGTTCTTCACATTAGGGAATTATTGTTCTTTTATCTGACAGCTAAAGTTACTTTTCAGAAGAAATATGTGTAAAATAAAGGTAGGCTATAATACTTCCTACATTTAGGAAGTAGTGGCTTCATTGTTGTTATTTTATGGTGGCACCTTACAAAAAGATTATGCAAGATAAGAGAAAAGTGTAAACGATTAATACAAATATGCTGATAATATGTCCGACATTTTAGAAATCATGACATTGTAATGGAATATTTTCACAAGTTAAAGATACTAGTAAAATACTAATACTAAAGTGTTTCTGTATGCCGCTCACATACAAAAGAAAATCATCTTCTTTTCACTTTACTGCTGACCATTTTCCTAAGATAAGTATCATGTGTGTTATTTTTAAGTGTGTTTCATATGCTCTATCGGTATAGCAACTAGAATACTGTTTGAGAAACTATAGATATCTTAGAGGGTGTCAGAGGAGGAAAGACAAGCCTCTTCGAAGTGTAGTCTGCGCTGTTCCCACAGACATGATACACCAAGTACTACTGCTATTGAGACAGAATACAATGCCCTAAACAAAACCTTCCTTTAACTTCTAGCTTTCTTACAGTTGAATTAGCACATTGATTGTTGGTTATGAGCAAACATACTCGCAGCTATGAACTCATACAACTTTCCAGAGAAGGCCTTCTGGATATTTAACCAACACAAGAAGGGTGAGAGAGCACAGCCTGCTGTCAGCTGCAGGCTATAACAGGTGATCCACAGTGCTGTCCTTTTAGGATATATCACATGTAACCCTTCCTTTGTTGAATAATATAAAATGTTTGTTACATTTCAGGCTATTGACACTTTAAGCACATATTATATACTCTTATATAACCTTCTTGTGGTGAGAGGAATAGTGTAAGGGCTGTGAAACACATGACCTCTCTGTGTTTGCTTTAATTTTTTGTGATCAATGAATTAAGCTTAAACTTGGCTTACTGTTGTACTTGATGTAAATCCCACTGGATTAGAACATAAACTAAGAGCCTTTATAAAGGGGGCGAGGGGAGATTAATACAGTTTGATTTATCTTTACTGAGATTAAATGATAGACATAGATTTATGTTTGGTATTGAATTACTATTCACTTAGAAGAATATCTTTATTGTTATCATACTCCGGTACAACGGAATTGTGTAGGCTTCTCTCAATGCAGTACAAAGCAAAGAAAGAAACAAATAAAGCAGGGATAAAATCAGCAGCAGCAGAGAAGAGAAGGCACTATGTATATTAAGTTAAGAAAACAATGATATACTCGAAAACTGACTAGTCTGTTGTTTTTGCCCAAAGAAACACTAAGAGATGAAGCTGAAATATGCAAAGTGTTTACCAGTTTTGATTGTATCATCCCTATTTATAATAAATCTATCATTTCCGCAGATTATATTTCAACAAATATGGATGACACACTTTGCTAAACTAACCTTCAAAACTCTCTTTTACTCTTTTGTAAATTGTGTAACCTTTTATTTTATTATATTTTGTATTATATTATAACTTTTTTTTTACTTTAATACTTTTTTATGCACGTAACATGTAACATTAAGCTGTCTGTGGCACTTTTACTGCTGTGACAACGTACATTTCCCCTCTGTGGGACTAATACAGGTATTCTGATACAGACTCACTTCTGCACAACAGCTCAATGTTATTTCCTGGTCTGACCACGCCCCTTTCTTTACCTATGGTATGTTCTGGGATAAGGTGTCTCAGTGCAAACTGACTGCACCAGCAGGTTTGATCAGTGCTCAGCTGTGTAATTGAAGTCACAGCTCTCTTAACACTTCAACCTGAAATGGATCTGTGGAGCAAAAAAGACAATGTCACCTACAAGCGGTGGACCAATCATGAAGTGAGGTAAATCCACCACATAACTTTACTTCTGCCTTTCTTCATGTTTGTAATGCTAACAGGTAGCATGGAACCTGTTGTTGTGTTTACATATCAAAGTGTTGCCACATAGAAGTAAACTGTGATTCAATAGGAAATGTTGTGCTTGAAACTAGTAAGGCCTGAATTTCTCCTTTTGGTGTACTGACATTTAGGAGTGGGGTGAATGTGGTGGGTCACAGCGATGAGGACCAGGGCACAGATAATGAGATCTGCACTATAGCCTCAGCAGGAGTGGACTCAGAGGGAAGACGGTCTGCAACCATGTCTGGATTGGATCAACATGAGGGTTTGTAGATCACTCTTAATTCTAATTTGTACACATTGTAATCTTGTCTTACTGTCATGTTTGAACACATGAAAGATACAAGCTCTTCTGAATTGACTAAAGTAAAAGTAGCTATGCCATACTGAAAGACCACAATGTAAACATCTGCATTCGAAAGGTTGCTAAAAGTGAATGTATTCATCATGCAACAGAATGGCCACTGTCAGGGTTTCGTCATTACATTGTTTTGATCATTTTTGTTGATGCATTATGTTGTGAGCAGTCTTTAATGTTGTAGCTGGTCAGCATAAAGATCATTTAATTTCTTTGTATTCTTTTTGGTAGTTTCATCTAAAAACGTTTTGTCATATTTAATAAATTATTATAATGCTTTACTTGTAGAAGTATTAGTAGCGATAGCTGTAAAAAAAATTGCATAGAAAGTCTACTATTTCCCTTATACAATGTACAAAGAAGCATTAAGAATACATTATTTTAAAAGAAAAAATACCTCAATGATGTACTTTTTTTTTTACACAAGGCATGATTAAGTGTAGTCGGCTTCATTAAAAAAATTATTTGATACTTACCCATCATTTTATCTCATTATGTTGTGCTTGTAGGGATTATTGAGCCATTCTGTCTCAATTTCTACACAGTAAACCTGCAGTCACTGTCTTCTTTTCCCTTTCACAGAAACCTTCACAGTGGACGAAGCTCTGGAGGCGATCGGCTTTGGAAAGTTCCAGTGGAAGATGTCTGTCGTCACAGGACTGTCATGGGTAAGAATGCTTAATCGTGTAGAAAGGATTTCCCTCTGAATTCCAGAAAATAGATGTGTCTCATGCAGCGCTGGGCCTCTCTGAGAGCAGGTTGCAGACGCCATGGAGATGATGATCCTGAGTATCTTGGCCCCCCAGCTGCACTGTGAGTGGAAGCTGCCCGGCTACCAAGTGGCCCTCATAACATCGGTAAAGTCACTTTCACATATTTTTTAAAACGTTGTATTAGACCTGTCACAATAACTACCTTTTGTTGGACTGTTGACTATCCAGAAATAATTGCGATTAACAATATTATTGATTAGATTTATAATAATCAGAAAACATTCAAAAAATATCCTGAAAAATAACAGACATAAATACTATTAAAACACACCACCAAAACGATGAATAAAAATGCATATAATGCGATGCCCAAGTCTTATAATGGTTGGGGAAACCCAGCATAAAAACTGAGCTAATGTCCATAAATCCTAGAATAAGGCGATAAGCTAATTGTGGCAAGTTTGCATGTTATTTCCACAACTTTTACATTTTAGAATATGTAAAAATGTTCACTTCATTTTTTTCTTAGGCAGTGTTTGCAGGAATGGGTGTCGGGTCACCGTTATGGGGGAATGTGTCCGATACGTACGGCAGGAAAACAGTAAGTCTACTTTATGAGATTTTCATTTATGAATGATTGTTTTTTATGTACGATTTAGATTTTAAACGTGTGTGTGTTCTGTCTCAGGGTCTGACGATGTGTATCTGCTGGGCTCTGACTTACGGCGTGTTGAGTTCCTTTGCTCCTGTGTACGGCTGGCTCCTGTTTCTGCGGGGCCTTGTAGGCTTTGGCCTTGGAGGAGCTCCTCAGTCGTAAGTTCAACTTCTGTCTGACAGACTAGCACATTTGAATAGCCTTTAAATGATTTGCAACAAACATGTGGTCTCTTTTTAGGGTGACACTGTACTCTGAATTCCTTCCAGTGAAGTCCAGAGGCACCTACATCATGCTGATTGCGGTACTTTGGTGTTTTTATCGTTACTGCATGACTTGTACTTTATTCCAGTGTTGAATCTTTAAACCGACTTAATATACTGCTCATTTAATGTGTGCTTTAGGCGTTCTGGGCGATTGGCTCTGTGTTCGAGGTCCTCCTGGCTCTGTTGATAATGCCCACTCTGGGCTGGAGGTGGCTGCTCTTCTTTTCCAGTTTACCGATGGCAGTCTTTCTATGCTTCTGCTATGTAAGTATATTGGTAATTCCAATAAAAAACTGCTGATTTTCCGGTTCTTGACTGAACTTTCTGTGATGCACAGTGGCTTCCTGAAAGTCCTCGCTTTCATCTCCTGACGGGAAAAACAGGGAAGGCCATGGAGACTTTAGCACGCATTGCCAAAGACAATGGCAAGCCTATGCCTAAAGGGAAGCTTGTCGGCAATAAACAGGTCAGTTAAGCATTATGTTCCTGTTTTATTCAGAGAGAGCAGATGAGTATCCAAAACAATGCTTGATTACAAAGATTAAGAAATACACCTTCTGTGTTTGTCATTTCACAGAATGAGCGTGGAAGGATTAAAGATCTCTTCACTGATCAGTATCGGAAGACTACTCTGCTTCTTTGGTTTATATGGTTTGTGTCTAATTCCCTCTATTCTTTAACTTTTCTTCATCTGGAATTTCAGTCAGAGGTAGTTATTTAGTCAAGTCTGGATTACCGACCCAGTTAAGTTGAAAAAACCTTTAGGTTCACTTTGTTGTATTGTGGTTATTAGTCTAGGAGTAAAGACTTGAATACAACATTAACTGAATGAGGCTCCTGTGTCAAAATATAGTGTCCACATGTTTTATTTCGGTTGTTATTCTGCTTGCATATTCCTGAATAAAACTGTGCTTACTCAAATGACCTCAAATGAATTTAACACGGTGCACACCTTTGCCCAGGTAGTATTCCAAAAGTAGTTTATGGTTCCTAGTGGACCAGGTAACATAATGCTGAGATTTGTCTTGTATAGTAGTTGGAACAAAAGGCTACATTTAACACTACACAACTTAGAACTCTGTGTTGTTATTGCATCCAAAGGTTTGCAAATGCCTTCTCCTACTACGGGATAGTACTCTTGACTACTGAGCTATTCCAAGCTGAACAGTCATGTACAGGTAGGAGCAACTCATTGTCATTTTAGTTTCTTAAATTGGAACAAACAACAAAACAACTGTCCTTTTCTTTATAGCAATTCAAGGGGCCAAGATGGAATCAAGCTGTAGTCTGGAATGCAGATATTTGACATCAAGTGACTACAAAGACCTTTTATGGACCACCTTGGCTGAATTCCCAGGTAAAACGCTCCTCTTAAGCTGTTTTCAGAGCTGTAACTTGAAACGTTTTGGTAAAGACTTCCATGGTTCTGCTGCCACGAACAGTGTTGGGATGATATACAGGTTCCTCCATATTTTAGTATTCATCCATAACGAAATCTTTCACAACATGGATATACTTTTTGCTTAAATTTAATAACCAATAGATTTTTTTTAAATGCATTTTTATTTATTTATACAATACCCCACTGAGGAGCCATAATGACAAATGTAAAGTAGATTTAAAAACATATCAATGCCAAGGAATATGGTTCAAATAAAGCTCACTTTGCATTTGTATTTACATACCTTTTATTGAATCCGGCTAAACGTATTTATTTTTGTTGATTCAGGGTGTCCGCGGGGTCTTAAAAAGTATTAAAAGTTGATAAATCAATTTAGCGAAAATTAAGGCTATTAAAAAGCATTAAACGGCATTTTCCAAGGTATTACATTTTGTAGCTTGTTTTCAATAAGTATATAAATTGTCCAAAGAGGTTGTATTCTACAGTTTGCCTGAATGTAATCATTGCGTAGGTGTGTAGTGTGATTCTGTGTAGTTTATTTATGGCATCCCGTTGGATTTGACGTCATCTGAACAGGACATCGCACGCTCACTGCTTGATAGCACGTGAAGGTCCGTTTACGCCGGTTGTTAAACAACATCGTTATGGGGAAATGCAAGTCTGCGTCCAAATGGTTGGAAGATAAGGAGGAAGGACAATCAATACTGTATATAGTAAATGTGAGGTAAAGTGTGTCGCCAATGTAACCGGTTAGAACTCGAAGTGGCGATGAGGTCTTAAAAAAGGTCTTAAAAGGTATTACATGTGACTTCAGGATTCCTGCATATACCCTGTGATTATAAGCTCTCGTTTATTTCCGTCTCAGGCAGGCCCGGTTCTACGGGGGTGCATAAGGGTGCATTGCACCCTCAGTTGAGTCGTTATGCACCCTCATTTGAACAATTTAAAGTGAAAAAAAAATAATAATTAAAAGTGAAATATATTACATATATAATAACAATAATAATAATAGTAGTAATAATAAGAAGAAGAAGAAGAATATAGTTGAAATAAAATCAATTGTAATTGTGGTTAAATAACATTGTCTGCTGCATTTATTTGGTCAATTTAAACGGTAAGTAACGTTATTATGTCAGGTGCGCGTGACCTGTGCTGCTGCGCGTTCGTCATCTGTAAGGTGCTTACACAGCAGTCAATGATGGACATCAGAAAATGGTTAAAACAACCAGCCCTTATCGCCAGCAGTAACACTGCATCTACTGCAGGTAATAACAGTTCAGATCATGGGGACATTACGTTACCCGCGGCCACTGTCGTGGACTCGTCCTCCCGCCCGATTCGCCGGCTTTGCCTGCCTCGCCCACGGAGGCGGAGCAGCCGCAGCCGTCTTCGTTGCCCCAAACACCGGTCCGCCACCCCTCGGCGGCCCGCAAGTGCCAGAGGACCTCGGCAAAACAGAGCCTGCCCAGGTATATTACAAAAAGTACCCATCTCGCCTGTACAGTGGGGTAAGGCGCTCATTTTGCAGCTCATGGTTTCAAAACAGAGATTGGCTGGAATATTCATGTAAAAAAGATGCCATCTTCTGCTACTGTATGCCTGTAGACATTTCGGTCTTAAAAGGGGAGTGATTTGTAAAACATCCATAAAGAAAAAGTAAATCTGTTTACAGTTCTCTTTCATATGGGTGTTGAGATGTATCCATAGATCTCTTCATGTTGCTCTCAAAGTGCACCAGATTGATGCTTTTAACTTCAATATTTAAAAACAAATCTTCCCGGGGGAGCATGCCCCCGGACCTCCCTAGAGGAGGTGTGGACTCCCCTAGAGGGTGTTGGGTCCACTCCCCACTTGTAAAAATAGCACTTTACCACTGCACCCTCTCTAATCTCAGATGCACCCTGAGTAATTTTGTTCTGGAACCGGGCCTGGTCTCAGGCCTGCTGGTGTTGTTTAAGGGAGTCGCTTTGGGTGTATAATTGTAGTTTCTAGTTTGTAACTCTTTACTGCCACATCAGGTTTTGTTTTTGTTGTTTCTTTCAGGTATTTTAGTTATCCTCCTTGCAATTGACCGTATTGGCAGAAAGAAGAGCCTGGCTCTGTGTTTCTTCATGTTTTCTTTGTGCATGCTGCCCTTATTTGCTTGTATCGGGAGGTGAGTTTTATTTTGTCACATTAGCACAACAGCGAAATATCAAATCATCATGACTGACCTCTTAACTCTTTGTGTCTGTCTTTCTGTCCATGCAGGCTGTCTGTTACTATCTGCATATGTATTGCCAGAGCCTTCATCTCTGGAGGATTTCAAGTTGTTTTTGTTTACACACCAGAGGTAGGTTTACAAACCATTTTACCACGCTAACAGCAATGATTTGTTTTTAGATTATTTGAACTGGCCGTAATACTCTCTCTTCACATTAGGTGTACCCGACAGAAACGAGAGCCATAGCAATGGGGACTTCCAGTGCGATAAGCAGGGTGGGGGCCCTGATTACCCCCTTTGTGGCACAGGTATGCAAAATGACAAGAATAATTATTATTTCAATCAACTTTAACTGTTTTATTTTTTTTAAAACAGATTTACAAAGTGATTCATAGACCTTCCATTAAAGAAAAATATAAAAATTAGGATAAGGTCAATGCAGCCAAGAAATACAAGTCACTTGAGACAATGAATAATGAGTAAATAAAATAATAAGTGACCATCTCTGCTCGCACTTTAGAAATAAACTAGTTCCAGCAACACTCATGTTTGGCCCCTTCAGGCTGTTTGTTTCTCCACCTCATATGTTGTGTTTTGGTTTCAGGTGATGCTCAGACAATCAGTGAGTGCGACCTTGTCGTTTTACTTGATCGTCTGTCTGCTGGGTGGCGTTGCATCCTTGCTCCTGCCCATTGAGACGTTGGATCGGGGTCTGCAGGAGTCCTGTCTTGATCAGGAGGCAGGACAACAGACAGCCACTACCAACCAAACAAATAATACAACACACTCCTCTAACCAGAGGTAGAACATCCGGAAAGAATGACATCCTGTATATGATTATGGGTAAACAACATGCAAACAAGAGGGGGACAATCTCATTATGAGCACAGAGTCATTGAGGGTCGGCCCACTCCCCATATCTAATGAGAGTGGAGGCACACTTGTGCTTTGACTGGTTTGTTAAGCTCCACCTGCATTAAGGCCATGAGAAGCAACAGAGGGACGTGATGAACGTCGACAAAGCTCTGTTTAGAGCTGCACATTGTAAGCCTTGCCCACATTTTCAATAAATAATATCGTATTTATTTATATAAAAAGCCAGGGGGCCTTTTTCTTATTAAAGTTGTTGAGTGAAAATCTGTTGTAATTTGCACAATAAAATATTATTTGTTTTGTTATTATGGCTTTACATTTAAGTTAAACTATTACCATTTTAATTTTTTTGTTATTTTTTGTATTTAACTTCTCCATTGTTGATAAGTGAATTGTCACCAAACTAATCTGCAATTATGATAACATCCAGGTATTTTTCTGAAATGTGAATATTAATCTGGTCTCTGTTTTTAAACATCATAGTTAATTGATTTTTGATTTGTTTTGGTCGAACAACACAACACATTTAGTGACATTACCTAGGAGATAATGAGGGGACATTTTAAACGGTTTTGTTATTCAGACCAAATAATTAAAGTTGAAAATAACGAGCAGATGCACCGGTAAGGAAAATTCTATCTATGTGTTGCCCTCCTCAACATTATGTCAGCTTCGCTGCGTTTCATAACATGAGCAGAATATTATTTCATCAACATTTGTATTTGGGAGTTCCTAGTCTGGCCAGTCACCTTGACAACATTGGCCCAATGACAGAGCACACGCGAACTAGGCCAGCCAATCAGAGGCGCCCGGCCAGGCTGCATGTCATTTCTGCCCCGCTTGCAACCTGCACCGTGTTTTGTTTGTCTGTCTGCGCAGCAGTAGTGATGAAATCTCGGGGTCTGCTGCTGCTGGCTTGCTACAAACGAAGGAAATCTCTCATGAATTCCCGCTCATGAGGACTCCGGTAACCGCAGAGGACGCACGGAGCAGGACCGAACGGGAGCACCGCCGGGGCTCTGGACGCTGCTGGATGAGAGTCTGACTAGGCATTTTCTCCCCGGTGACAGAGACAATCTCGGCGGCGCATCTTCCCACATCCTCCTCCCCTCCTGTCTCCACTCCTCCGCTGCCCTCCAAGGCTGCAGCCCACCCACCATGGCCCTGGTGACTCTGCAGCGCTCTCCCACCCCCAGTGCAGCATCCTCGGCCAGCACGACCAACAGCAGTGCGGGGGAGGTGAGTGGAAAAAGCCGGGGCTCGGGCTTTGTGTGTGCGGCATGAGGAAACGCCGAGAATGCGCCTAAAGGAGCCCCTATCCACCCGGGCTGTGGGGGGTGTCCTAACACACTGCAGGAAGGGTTAACCCTACTTCCATCATTAGTGTGTTTTATAAACTTGATATATGATTGTATTGTTAGCAGCAGCGAGTTGTTTGTTTGTGGCTACTGTGGCAGCGGATTTGTAAACACAATCCTGCAGGGGGGTGGGGGGCTGCTGGGTTTAGCTGTCAGAACAAAGTGGTCATTTTGCTGCTGCACAAACATTTGCTGCACTCAGGTTGTTCTGCCTCCTTGTTATTGGCCTTTTATGTAGTAATGCAGCCTCAGTGTAGGGGAGGAGACTTTAAAGGGGAATGACAACATTTCTTTATAATTATGTTCAGTGTGTGTCCCAGGACACTTCAGTCAAGTGTTCATGAACTTGCAATAAGAAAGACACTTAATGAGTAAAGCCACTGAGGCAATTAAATACTTTTATTTGTATGACTATTTTCAAGTTATTGAGTAAAAAAGATAACAAAATATAAAGGAAAACCCAACATCAGCAGACATTCTTTATGGTTAAAAGACTAAAATACATGTGTAAATAAGTACTCCAAAAAGGTAGAACCAATACAAGTATTTGAGTGATGTGAGATTCAGCTATATGCAATGACCCAGACAAAGATTGTATCAGCCGGTATTTTATATTTTACATCACAATGGAAAAAAAGACTATGTTTGTTATTTTCTAGCTTTCCAAAACTGCAGATTCAGCTCTTTACAATAAGAAGTAACATTGACTCTGACTTAGTTTCAGGCTGTGAATCAGAAATTAAACACCATAAGCAAAGCTACATTTTAAGGACAAACAAGAATTAAAGTCAAGATTAAAATGTAGAGTGGTGCCGGATTTGATGTCCAACTGAAATCTCAACATCAGGGTTAGTGCTCCAATTTCTAGGAAAGTGGATTACATGCTCTGAAGAAGGCTGACTTAACTGAGGCACAAAAACAAGCTGTGAAATTGTTCCTCTGGTGCAAAGTTTGTGTTTTTAATATCTTATTTGAATATTTGCTGCATAAAAGCTCACTATTCTGCAAGAGGAAGATAGCAGGAAGGATTACTCTAAACAAAATTAATTGTTAAGAAGTATTTATTTGTGCAAAACTCACAGGAAATGCTTTGTTTTCCTGCCTCTCAAAGATTCATATTACACTAAAAACATTTAAAGACATCACCTTGGACTTGGTGAAAAAGGAATTTTTTAACATTTAATAGCAAACTATTACTTTATTATAATACTAAATCATCAGAATAATAAATCATACACATAATCCCTTATTTGCAGTCCTTGTGCCGTTTAAAAGCGTCCCAAATGATTAAACTGTCCCTTTATTGCACATGAGATCACAACACTCACAGAGGACCAGATGTTGCCCCATGCACACTTTATTCCAAATGCATGCTTCTTAACATCCATTGGTGCTCGTGTACCATCAGTCATTTCCTGGATGTATTCTGCCCATGTGGCTCTGCAGCTCAGTGAAATTCGGCCTGCAGATGACCCAAAACAACAGTTACATCTGCACAGTGCAAGAACATGTAACATCCTCTCTAAATCTTCATTTGCTCTGTGGCTCAGTTTTTCCTCGACATTCATTTGACACTGCTGTTGAACAATCTTATACTGCTGCAGTCTTTATAATCTCTGTCTTGTTTTTGTCTTTCAGGATTTTGGAAGTGATGATGAGCGGAAAAACAATCAGAGGTAAGAGCTTGCTCTTTAAAAACGTGTGTATTTGAACATTTTACAGAGATGTCAAACTCTACTAAGAGTGTCATCTTAACAGTGGTGTTAACTCTCTCATCAAACTTTTAAGGCTGTACAGTTGAAGCAAAGTTCAATTCAACATTTCCTTTTATTATATTATTCTGCATTATTTCTCATATTATCATGAGATACAATACAATTTGTACTTAGTTTCTTGATTCGATTTGAAATGTATAGGCTTCTGCTGATGTTTATTATGGTCGTGTTTGTGCTTGTTGCACAATTAATTCTATAATGGATGTAATAGTTATTTTTAACTTAACGGTGCAATGAATTGGACTGTCAAATAATCATGCTGATTTAAAAAGAATTACTTTGGCAAGCTCCTTGTCTTGTCCTACCTCCTGACGATTCAGACGCATCAGTTTGTTTGGTTATTTCCTGTAATGGCCCTCTGTTTGTCACTGTTGTCAAGGAGAAAAACTTGTTAGAAATAAGTACAGTTGATTTAACAAGGCAGGTACTTTAAATGTTTCTTCTGCTCAGTTACATAACAGACAGTACCAAAAAATGTGTCCTGCTCAGTAGCAAAGCTGTATTTGAATCCGCCCAACATCACAAAAGTCATGATTTGTGGCAGCAAAGCTTTGGCACAGACTCTGTCTTTGTGCTCACTCTCTATGTGTGTGGGTCGTTTACAGGGTAAACATCCATGTCATGCCTTTTTTTCTGAAGTGTCTACACGAGTAACATGTGTCTGTGGCTCAGTAACTAATCAGGGGGGGGCGTTTTAGGATTCTGCATGTCAGACTTGAGATTGACGCCAAAAGTAACATTCCCACCGCCTCCCAGCGCTCGCATGAATGATGCTATTGTTGCAGAGTGTTGCGTAGGGAGAGTTGATGCACGTGCTGTGAAGAGGAGATGGTGAGCGGAGACTGAGAGGACAGGGCGGCGCAGACTCAGAGACTTGAGGACCGAGAACTCTGTGGGAGGAGAGGGAGGACCGAGAAGTTAAACTAAGAGGCAGTCCTCTAACCAGGGACAAATGCAGGTGGAGGAGATGGATTGGAGGATGTTAAAAAGAGGAGACTAAATCGAAGGACGCTTCTTTTTCTTAAAGACTGTAAATAATCCACTAACTACTATCAGGATGCATCTGGTTGTGAAACCTCCTCATAAAGCCATGCTCACCGTGCTGCCTCACTTTGTGGAGAGAGCTGCTCTGACCCGGAGGGAGATCTGTCGAATGTAAGTTCTCACAGCCAAACAGACAAAAAGTCGATGGTAGACTTGATAGTAGACACTTTTTAAGAGTTACTCGGCACTTATTGGCAGTAAGGGAGGTTTAGAGTTGGCGGTCAGAGTTGAATAAATTATCATGAGCCTTTGCAATTGTGGGTCAGCTGCATTTTAAAGCTTTCATTCCGGCAGTTTGTTGGTTTGAACTAGAGTAGTGATTTATTTAGGTGTTTCTTAATAAGAAAAAGTGTTTTGTGTTGGAAGGAGTTCATCTGAAAACGTTTTCAAGTAGGGAACATTTGTTCAAGTCAGTTTGGTTCCTTTTTTGCCACACATATGGCAATAAAGAAATAACTTCAGGTGTGTTTTAGATCTCACCCCTAGATCACTGCTTAGTTATTTTTTCTCTGGGAATGTCACAACAGATAGAGTTCTCAATAATGCAAATTCAATGGCTTTCATTACTGGGCAATAGGTTTAATTCCAATTCTGCGATTTAACAGACAACATTTTAAATGAAACTCCTCTAAGATGAATACTTTGTTTTTAACTCAAATCACCCTCTTGTGACTTTTTGACTGTCAAAGTCATACATCTTCTACATATATGTGAAAAGGACCAGTGATACCACCATGTAGCAGGGCAGCTGAAACAAAAGGCCTCGTGATGGTCCCACTCAGTCATACCAGGCTTTGTGTGTTGGTTGAGCTGGGGAATGAGACTGCGGTTAAACAAAGCTGCACTCTGTTCTGTGTGAGGAAAGACGCTCGGGCTCTCCTCCTGCTTCGCTGCAGCCCTCACAACAGAGTCATGACCCAGAAGAGCTGCGGCCAACACAGGAATCACAGCAGAGCAAGTTTTAAAGTCAGAGCACATGTGGATAGTCGCGGTGTGGTGTTTGAATCAGCGCAGGTCAGCGAACACAATCAAGAAGAGTCCGCCGAACATGTTGTAGGAACACATGGCTGTAAAAGTCACTATGTTAGGACTCTGCTGACTCTGATGAGCCCTCAGTCCTGCCCACTGAAACACTGAGGACTAACTTCTTGAATACACCACAATACGTAAAGCAGATTTAATTATGTTAATGAATGTCAGTTTAACTTTTATAGATCCAAATAATACTCTTGCACTATGTTGACCTAGCCCACCTTAGTAACCTGTATATATTTGACTCACTTTAGTGAAGGGTTTTCAAAACAAAGGTTTACTGTGTTTGTAGGGCATGTCTTCTCTTAATGTAGGTTAATAAGTTGTCCAGCTACATTTGAATGGCATGAACATAGTTTTCTACCAATGTGTGAGAAAACATTTCTGCTAATAAAGGAACAGGAAAGAAAGAGATTAACTGTGATGGAGCAAAACACGATCAATACAGAATGTGGTTCTAAATTATAAGAATAGTATGCTGGATGTTAAAATATTAATATTAAACTGCTCATGGTTGCTTCTAAAGACTAGCTTCCTGTCATATATGAAAGAAATATATGTAAAAATAGCTTTTGTAGAGAGTTATTGTAATCTGTGCAGGATTTGTAAAATGTAATTAAACAATGCGTAGCTTTTTTCCAGTTTGTCTTCTTCAAAATGATATCCAAAGCAGAACTAAAGATGGGTTGTGCAGGTATGGTAGGGGGCAGTGGGTGTATGGCGTGCATGGATGAGAGAAAGTATGTGTGCAAACGTTGTTTAAGGTAAATACATGAAGTGAGTGCTTAGGGAGCATTTTCTACTCTGACCTCTCAGGTGCAGCCAGTTATTCTGACGAACCCACCCAGGTGGTGTTTTAATACAGTTACAACTTCCTGCAATCAGCCAACCCTGACTGATTTCTAAACACGAATCTGACAACAATGTGTTTTACTCGATCTGTACATGTTATTTAAGCTCTATCTTGCATCATGGGGTTAGAATGAAGCAAAGGGAAGAGTGGTAGAACACTATTAACCTGGTGTGGAAGTGTACTGTAAAAAAGGGCAGTTCTTCGCTTGCAATTGTTGAGATTTCAAAGCTTTCTTGAATGTATTTTCCACTTCTGCTTTTTCCAGCCTCAGTGAGAGCTTCTTCATGGTCAAAGGAGCCGCCCTCTTCCTCCAGCAGGGTGGCAGCGCACAAGGACCAGAGACCCCGACCCACCACACACATGCAGGTAGGAACAGACATGCACAGAACAAGCGTTGTTTCTTCTTCTTTTGGCCATATTCTCTGCACAGAAGATCTCCAGACAAGAGGAGAATTGTCTTCACTGCGGTGGCTTTTTCTCTCTGTGGGTTCGTCTGTATTTAAACTGTGCGAGGAACCCAGAGACCTGCAGTTTAACACAAGGGAGGCTAACAAATCAGTTCAAACGGGTCAAGTCTGATATCTCAAATAAATATACAGACAGTTTGTTCCCACACTTTAAATACTTTTGTGGGTTTGACATCATTTATTACAATTTGATGCTGCTGCTAATGTTTGTCTGCACATTAGAGGGCATGACCATGCACAATCTATACATAAAAGTGTTCTGTAAGGTTTCTTGTCCATCACTAAGTTTCTTTAATAGATGCACACTGTTTACAAGTTTCTAATCTGCTTTCCTTGTTGAGCCTGAAGTCATTTGAGGATAAATGCAAGAGTAGTAAGCAGTTTGTTTTCAGGTGACTCAGGTACTTGCTAACACTGAAGCTTAGCATGGCTTTAAGGTCGCTGGGTTGTTTCATTGATAGAAATACACAAGCATATTTCCTCCCACTGCAGAATAAATCCAACAATGAATGTGTAATAGATCCTGAATGATCAGTCTATAGGTGACCTTTTTTTTTGTTTGTTTTTTTTTACCAGAAAAGGTCCTTGCAGTGAAACTTGATTCAAGTGTGCTTTGTTTGTTTCTCTGCAGGGTCTTCTCATTGAATTTCCCCACACTCAGTCACTTTTCTAATAATAAGTCTTTGTTTCACTTTCAGGTGATTTACCTCAACACCTGCAGGTCATGTTTAAGATCCTCCGGTCTGAGGATCGCATTAAGCTGGTCAGTAATACTTGCATACACCCACTTCATCACTTTTGTTACTCAAACATTTGGATAGCAATGTACTGTGTGGAAGCTCTAAACTAGAAGTTGTTAATTTGACTCATTTCTACATCAATACAGCACAAGTGTTGATTGTATTACTCATATTTATAAGTAAACGTTTTTTTAGGAAAGTTGTTTAACAGGAGGCAGTCTGTTGAATCTTACGTTTGTTTTTTATCATGGCGTCACATACATGTTTGTACAAAAATAGCATTAGGCTAGTAAATACATACAGTATATTTCTCCCTTTTTGTTCCACAGGCTGTACGGTTGGAGAGCGGATGGTCAGACCTGGTGCGCTACATGGTCGTCATCTACACCAACGGCCATCAAGACACAGAGGAAAATATTCTCCTGGGGATGGACTTCACGGACAAGGACAGGTAAAAAGTCTCTCTGCAGCCTTACATTACGCGCAGTTAAATCTGTTTATTAGATCTGCTTCATGATAATTGTAAATCTTTGTCATTCACAGTAAAAACTGCTCTATTGGGATGGTGCTGCCCCTGTGGAGTGATACCAACATACATTTAGATGGAGATGGGTAAGTTTCCTTTTCCTTTTCCATAAAGATTGAACACTTTAAACAGATTGCAAGATTTTATATATTAGGCCAAAAACCAGTAATATGTTCTTAAAGGGCACACAACAAATCTAATATATTTATTTTTACTGCACAAAGAACTAACATTTAAAAAACATTCAACAGTATTGGAGATAAAGTAGTGTTAAAGTAAAGAAGAATACAAAATGTAACATATACATTCAAGAATAATGTATATTTGCAGTAACCTATACAAATATAGTTAATGTATTGCCCTTCTGGATTTTCACAATTGTGTGTGTGTGTGTGTGTGTGTGTGTGTGTGTGTGTGTGTGTGTGGTGTGTGTGTGTGTGTGTGTGTGTGTGTGTGTGTGTGTGTGTGTGTGTGTGTGTGTGTGTGTGTGTGTGTGTGTGTGTGTGTGTGTGTTGTGTGTGTGTGTGTGTGGTGTGTGTGTGTGTGTGTTGTGTGTGTGTGTGTGTGTGTGTGTGTGTGTGTGTGTGTGTGTGTGTGTGGTGTGTGTGTGTGTGTGTGTGTGTGTGTGTGTGTTGTGTGTGTGTGGGTGTGTGTGTGGTGTGTGTGTGTGGTGTGTGTGTGTGTGTGTGTGTGTGTGTGTGTGTGTGGCTGTGTGTGTGTGTGTGGTGTGTGTGAGTGTGGTGTGTGGTGGTGTGTGTGTGTGATGTGTGTGTGTGATGTGTGTGTGTGTGTGTGTGTGGTGTGTGTGTGTGTGGTGTGTTGTGTGTTGTTTCTTGCTGCCCTGGTACCCTTGTCCCTGTGTGCTGGCGGCATGTTCCCCTGTTTGTGTCCTGGCCTCCGCGCTGTGCCCGCGCCGTGTCCAGTCTGTGTTTACATCGCTCTTCATCTCCACCCGAACTCAAACTGATCTTCCTTCTCCTCTTCCTCTTCTTCCTCACAGAGGCTTCAGCGTGAACACGGCAGGGCGGTCACATGTCTTCAAGCCTGTATCTGTTCAGGCCATGTGGTGAGTGAGTCCTCCCTGTTTACCTGAGATTACTGTGGTGTTATGTGAGGACAAGAGAAAAAACACATTGGCCATGCTGGATAAATGTTGTTTAGACTTGTACATCTAAATATGTGTACAAGACCTCTGTGCATGTTATTAAAGTACAATGTATTCTTAAAATATTTCAGTTTTATGTTATGTATGTACATTTTTGTGCCTGTGTGCAGTGTGAAGGCACAGAATGCTGAATGTGAGATTAACCTAATTAGCTCAATTATAGGATCAGGTAGCAGCTCCATGAAATAACTATTAGTAAGCCCCAGTGTTAACATTTTCTTAACTAACAACAGTACAAAAAAGTGTGTGTCATTCCAATTATATACATATAGAAAATACACAAAACCCAATTATTTGTCAAATGTTAGATAAATATATGTTTGTTTTTTCTATTTCCTACGTATCATCCTCATGCCTGTACGCATATTTAATTTGGAAACTGGAAGTTAGACACCATTATGATTTCCTTGATTCTAGAATTTCTGAATTCATATGAAAATATTATGTGAAATGACAACATGTACAAAAATGATTAGCTTACGTTTTTAATGGCCCTGCGAAATTCCCAACTTTAGTGTGGCTGCTCTTCATCCTATAGACATGTTGTTTTGATAAATGTATCTGTACAAGCATTAAACCTAACGCCACAAATATTTTAAATTGTTAAACTGTACATTTTTCTTGATTTGGTCAAATAACAAAGAGTATTTGATCGTATTTTTCACTATAGTCCTCATTGTGAAGACTCTATTTGGGCCACTCTTTATTACTCTGTCACCACTGTTTAATCAAATACTTCTGACAGTCTTTCTCCATCCACATGCCCCCTGCTGGTCACTTGTCAGTAAGACCAAAAAACAAGAGTGCCACGGTCTTATTTGCCTGCTTTTTAAATAGAAAAGCCTTTTTCTCTGTGTCTCTCCAGGTCGGCCCTGCAGATCCTCCACAAGGCCTGTGAGGTATCCCGCCGGTTCAACTACTTCCAGGGGGGCATTGCTCTCACGTGGATGGCCTTCTATGAGAGCTGCATCACCTCGGAGCAGAGCTGCATCAACGAGTGGAACGCTATGACCGACCTGGAGACCACCCGGCCGGACTCGCCCACCATGTTCGTCGACCGGTGAGACCCTGAAGGCTGCTTCATGTATTTATTTAATCAGGAGAAACCCACTGGGACTCTAAATCTCTTTTTCAAGGAAGAACTGGCCAAAGCAACAACAATAAAATTACAAAATGTAGATACAGAGAGAAAACAAGAGACAACATTTGACATATAATCAAACATAGGTAAAAGGTTCAGTTTTGCAAGGTAAATTGCAAAAAATGTACATCAAGTTTGACCTTATTTCATTCATGTAAACCTTTATGATGCAAAACAGCCATTTTTGCCATATTGCTTCACAAAGTATGGCTGTCACATTGTAAGGAATCTGATTCTTTCAGATTAAACATTACAGTTTTACCTGATTTAATAAACTCTTTATACTTGAGAGGGATTGCTAACTGTATCGACCAAACAGACCAACTGCTGCTCATTTCAAAACATACCTGGTGTGTTTATGTCCTTTGTCATGGGATGCCTGTCAATGCTTTGGTCGCCAGCTGTTGTCTCTTTGTCTTCAGCTGTGGGAACATATTACACTGTTATGCTAATTTCCATACAGACGGCAGCACTGACGTATTGACTCATTCTGTGCAGGCCGACTGAGCGCGAGAGAACAGAGTGTCTCATCAGAGCCAAGCTACGCAACATCATGACGTATCAAGACCTGGAGAACATCACCTCCAAGGAAGTATGTGCCAAATCATCCTCTGAGTGATGTCTGATTGATCCAGATCTTTCTTTCATACCGTACTTATAAGGATGTTTCGGACTCGTCCACAGATCCGTAACGAGCTGGAGCAGCACATGAGCTGCAACCTCAAAGAGTACAAAGAGTTCATCGACAACGAGATGCTTCTGATCCTGGGTCAGATGGACAAGCCCACGCTCATCTTTGACCATGTGTACTTGGTGAGAACTTTTTTGCATGTTCACTTTTTTTGGAATCATATTTTAACATTATTTCTTATTTCTTCCTCTATGCTGATACCAACATATTGGGGTTTAGACTCACACAGAAGAATACAGTGAATTAAAATGTATTTTTGTTTGCAAATATTTATAATATTCTATGTATTTTTTTTGTTTTTATTTATCCTAGGGCTCTGAGTGGAATGCTTCTAACCTGGAAGAACTACATGAATGCGGGTGAGCTGATAGTTAACACTACAATAACATGTTATCCTGATTTAAGCGTAGATGTTTTAATCTTATACAGAATTAAATAAAAACTGTACATGTATAATTTTCGCTGTATGTTGGTATTCTTTTTTTATATTTTGTCATCAGTGTAGAAGTGTTGGTAGATTTGTAGTCCCTTTCTACATTAATTTGAGGAACAGTTCAACTAAAATGTAATGAAGACATTTTGTTGTGTTGGCTGCAGTGTGGGTTACATCCTGAATGTGACCAGAGAGATTGACAACTTCTTCCCGGGGATGTTTTCTTATCACAACGTCCGCGTTTACGATGAGGATGCCACCGACCTGCTGGCACACTGGAACGACACGTACCACTTTATGGTCAAAGCCAAGTAAGACCTTACATGTAAAACAAACCAGTGGGCTGGGAACAATCTACACTTAGAAACTGTAAAATAAGGCTGTTATCCAGGAAGTGTAGAAAAATGTTCAAAAGAAATGTGCCTCCACAGCACTTTGGTATTAATAGATATTGTTTAGTCATCATTTTTGTGTCACACTTTTATTGGCTTGCATCATGTATTTTCCACAATTACTTTGTTCTCCCGCCCAAACACTCGTCACAGAAAACTGCAACTGTTCAAGGTTCAAGGTTCTTTATTTTGTCATACGAACATAGCTACAGTGTAGTTATGCCGATGAAAATCTTAGGTCACAGGCTTCTCCAACAGTGCAACACAATAACACAGATACACAGAAAAATATAGTGCAAGTAAATAGTAAATACAAAAAGAAAAATAGTCTTAGCATTTTAACCTGAAGTGTAAATAAGAAAGATAAGCTTAAGTTGAGACATGTGTAGTGCATATCTAGAGAATCACCAGATCATAAGATACACAGACTTTAATATCTATTACACTGTCCTAACTATCACCAACTAGATCCATATAATGGGATTTAAAGGGTTTTGTTTGTGTCCAATAGGAAGAACAACTCAAAGTGCCTGGTGCACTGTAAGATGGGGGTGAGCCGGTCTGCCTCTACGGTTATTGCCTACGCAATGAAGGAGTTTGGCTGGCCTCTGGAGAAAGCCTACAACTTTGTCAAGCAGAAACGGAGCATAGCTCAGCCAAACGCGAGTTTCATGAGGCAGCTAGCGGAGTACGAGGGAATCCTGGATGCAAGGTAAGCAGCTCTAAAGTTTCACTGAGGTTTGCACTTTGATGCAGTCACCTGAGTGTTATTTTACTTGAATGCAGCGATGAGGTTGATACTGAATTACACAATGCTCCTTTCTTTAAAGCTAAAAGCACTTAACACATGCTGATGGAAATACAATGTAATTGCGCTTTCGTTGTGACTTATTGTCTCCATGTAAACAAGAGTGTACTTTGCCTTCATAGTAAACAGCGCCACAACAAGCTATGGAGGCCTGAATCCAATGAGGGTTCGGATGATTTGCAAGCCTCCGGTGGGGGGGAGGGGACGCCAGTGCTCAGAGGGGAAGAAGCCTGGGGGGGCTGCGGGGCCTCTCCCTGCAGGGGGGGCACGGGTCTGGAGATGGAGCCCCTCGACTCTCTGAACTATAATTATTACTTCAGACGTTTGTCAGACTCTGCACTGGACAGCGAGCCCTCCACCCCGGTGCGGGGGCCCCCCCTGCTGGGCATGGAGAGAGTTTTCATTGAGATCGAAGACGTGGAGAGGGATGCTCTGTTGGAGGACGAGGGTTTCCCCATGGCCCATCTCGCCCTGCCTGGGGGGGGCACGGCGGCTCAGACGTGTGGCCGCCTCGACCCCCTGGAGGACATGAGACACAGGCTCGAGATCAGCACTTTGGAGGAAGAGGATGAGGAAGAGGCCAAGAAAGAGGAAGCTGAGATGGCGGCCTTGGCTCAAACACCTGGAGGTTCAGACGGGAAGAGGCCAGGGGACGATGATTCGACAGAGGAAGGACGGTTAGGACTCGCCAACCTGAACACCAACAACAGCAACCGCCTAGCCGCCAAGCGCAGCTGCCCTGCTGCTTTTGACGTGAGTTATATGAATGAGAATTATAAGTGTGGTAAAGTTTTGTGTTGAGCATCTTTTTTTAAACGGCTTTAAAGTTCTCCTATCATGCTAAATGCACTTTTTTACGTATTTTATACATAAATATGTGTCCCCGGTGTGTCAGGTAACTCAAAAATCTCTCAAAATGGGGGTACAATGGAGCTGATCCAGATTTGCGTCCGATATGACGTAATATTGGAAATGTGGGTCCGTGGACCCTATCAGAAACGTCTCTATCAGCAAACAATGCGCGACATGTTTTGGACGTAATATGGTCTTTGTTTACATTAGCAAGCATCGCTAACACTCAGAGCTAACTGTACTGGAGAGATTACATGTGTAAAAAAGCAGGAAATAAAGAAAGGAACTCACCTTGTGTTAAACCCGCAAGAGAAAAAGCATTTGAGCTCCATACTGTTTCAGAAATAATCCTTGAAGTGGTTTTTGAACATGATATGGCGTTTCATCAAGCTTTTAGCTGGCTATCTGCCGGTATAATTCTGAGCAGGCATTCGCTTTTTTAAAGCTAAGGACCCCGAACCTGCAGTTCTCTAACAGGGCTGAAATAGAGGGATATGAGGGATGTCTAAAATGCATGATTTGTTTGGTATTTGGAGCAAAACACATCATAGACATGTTTTTTATATATTTGTATATATCTGAGACCCATAATATATGCCTAAAAATAGCATGATAGGAGATCTTTAATGTCAGAAGAAAATGTATGCATTTCAAATATTTTGCATTCCACTGACCATACACTTTGTATATTACTCCCTTTAGGACAGTGCTAGTGCTGGAAACCCTTTAAAAGTGAAGCCCTCCTATCAATCCTGTAAAGACTGCCTGCGTCTACCACAAGGGCGGCGCTGCGACCGTCCAGCAGGGGGCCGTTCCCACCGCCTTAACCCCTCCCGCCACTGCACTGTCCCCACCATATGCATAGATCCGCCCGGGACCCATTTTGGCTCTTCTTCAATTCTGCACTCTCTGCAAGCCACTGCACCAAAAACAGTCCAGCCCTGTAGTCATCGATACCGCTGTGCCACCTGCACCCCCAGTATGCCCCTCACCCACCGCCAGAAGCTGGTCTCACCCATGCGTGTGGAGACGGAGGACATGGACCAACCACAGGGGGGCGACCTGGGAGTGGAAATGTCAAGGGTGGGTGCAGGGGCCATCGGTGCTGCTGAAGGTTTGGAGTTACAGCCCGGCGGTGCAGTGGAGCTCCAGCAGCAGGCTCTGGCTCAGCTGCACAGGCCAGGACTGGGGATTGAGTTTGGTCTGGAGCTGATGCGACAGAGGGCCGAGCAGCTGGACCAGATGCCCAGCCTGGCCATGGAGGGCCAGCTCCCTGTTGGGCCCCTGCCTTAACACAGTGGCCCCGGACATGGATGAGATTGAAGGAGGAGGCTTACCACGGCCTCCAGCTGGTACATGATGGCCTTTAAGATGACTGGCACTGTGGTGTTGTACTAGAAGTGAAGCTCTGCTGTCATGTCCTGGCCTCATAGCTGCACAATCACAACGGCCCTCTCTGCATCTCCAGAGAGCATCCTGTCATTGTCTCTTGGCACTAAGATCCAGGTGAGGCTTGTTGTTTTAAAAATACGCTAAAGGCTTGAATGCTTCTGGCCAGGTAAGGACTGAAGACTCTCCCGTGTCCTTCCACTTGTCCAATAGACCGGATTAAGGCCCATCTGCCGACCCCACACCACACACAGGATCATCACACTTCCCCACAGCCCTGTGGAGACGAGCGTTATGCTGCCATTTTCCTCCCAAACAGACATTTCTGGCATATTTCTCAGTCAGGAGACAGTGGTGGTTGTTCCTTTCTAACTGCTGAGAAAGCTAAAGCTAGCACTTCTGATTTTGACGGAAAGAAAAAAAGCTGAAGTAAGAGGCTTCTGTCAGTGTACTGTGTGTTTTTCAATCTGATTCATCAACAGTATTCATGAAGGAGCCCAATGAATGTTTGCAGTTGAGCCAGTTTGATTGCATTTAGAATTTCCTTACCACTGATAGCTGAATCCTCACTAACCTTCACTTATATTTTCCATGCTGCAGCTGCTTTTGCATCACGATTCAAGAAAGGGCATTTCATGTGGAAGCATAATCATTTTTTAAAAGGATGTGAGCCTTTTTATGCCTCTTTGTAAAGCGTCGTACCTCGGACCACAAGCATCTTGAACTGTTTTGGTCAAAGACTCTTTTGTTGTTTTCTGCTCAGCGGTTGGTTCACCCTGACCTCCTCCGTTAAAGTTAACGTACTTAGCGTTCTTACTTTTGCCCCACGCATGACTCTGCAGTATTACAAAACATATCCTCGACATGCTTATACAGAAAACATTTTTAGGTGGACATTTTGGAAAACTAAAAACAACTTTTGTCAGTAAATTTGTCATTAAAGTGACAACAATCATATCTAATCGCTAATTGAATTGAATCTAACCCCTTGGAGAATGACAGAACATTTAATTCAGCTATCAGGAAACCTTAAGAAGCTTCAAATGTGATTTTATTGTTCACTCTGATTCTGTTTTTGATTACTTCCCGATTATAACAAAAGCCATATCATAGTGCCAGGTCCACTTAATCACCTTTTCTGATTTGAAGTCTTTTCTTACTTTCTTACCTAGTCTGCATCTGGGTTATTAATCTGAGAGGCTCCCAGTTCAACTTTTAGTAACATGTTGAAAAACCACAGGCTACCTTTCCTTAAACCCAAAAACATTTGCAAAGGCACGCAAATCATGTACAAATTCAGCACTTGAGCACAATTTTAGTATCCATTCACACAGTTCACATCTCTGATCTACAGCTATCAAATGAATTGAAGAACAGTAAAGCAGAAACAACTATCAAGGTTTCATTATTTGCTTGCAGTGTCCATCCTTGTGAGTGTAGTTTATTTGATCTAATAATAATATTATAATTCTGACTTTCAAATTACTAGATAAATATTTATATTTAAAGTTTGAAAATTATACTATATTTCCTTTATTTAAATTCAGAAAAAGTTAAGAAAATTGCAAAGCCCAGTTTTTCCTCAGAAGTCAATTCCTCATCTGTACTTTTGTTAATTTTCTATATGTTAAGACGGCTTGAGGCATGTTTTTTTTTCAAATTGTGCCACCAATCCAAAGTTGCTGTGCCACAAGGTTTTGCTCTACAATCTCCTCTGTTTGGTTGATGTTGTGTTCTTGCTGTTTTTGGCACGCTGGGTGTGCTAGAATAGTACTGAATGATGCGGGTTTGAACGCAGGAAAAGCACATTTGAGTGTTATCACTGTGTTTGAAGAACTGAGTGCTTCAGAAGAAATGAAAACTGTGCAAGGAATGAATGCAAATTATTTATTCATCTTTAACCATGGGGTTATTGGAATTGTTTTTGTACATTTAGCTCTTTAGTTAGATCAGTAGAAATGTCAATGCATCCTCTGTTCCCTTTCCTCTCCTGAAAACCAGGGAGCTGCAGGTTTGCTCCGCTAGTTGGATTAACATCATTTGGTTTTGCCTGTTCTTTCCCTCACGTGAGCATGATTCAACCTTGGGCACTTACAAAGTTGTTGACAGCATCTGATACCACACACATTTGAAACCATGTCAAAAATGCTACATAAGTTGTTAAAAGAAGAAGCGAAAATATCAACAAAATGACAACCTAGAGACATTAGTGTGGTATCAATCTGGTCATCTGACTCCCAGCAAATAAGCGTATTTCCCAAAATGTTGAACTCTTCCTTTGATTCCAATAGTTGTTCTCAGTATGTTGACAGGTGGGCCTCTGCTTGGCATCCACGTGATGCTTCTGGCACTAAATCCTTTTCCACAGCACTAAGTTTGGTTGTTTGCTTCATGTTTTGAACTTGTGTTTGTATTTAAGTGCCTTAACCTCGGCCTTAGCTCTGTCATAAAGCATCACAGGCATTGCGAAAGTTTCTGTGAGTGTGTTGATGGTCTTGCTTTTTGTCCATTACTTAACCTCACTCCAAATAATAAACCCTGCTCCCTGCAATGTATAACTCGGCACAAAATAATAATGTATGCAAAAGCTCATGCACAGCGGCCTCCTCCACCCCCAGTACACGCATACTTGATGGACTTCCATTTATTAATAGCCTATAATAATATTGTATTTGTTTATTGTTAAAACGTGCGGTACACTGTATTGGTTCAATAGCTGGCTGAAGAACCTTACTTGCTGGAATGAGAACTATCATTTACATTAAAACATTAGATAGGATGGATTTCAGCCTCTGAAATGTTGTCTGTATATATTTTTCTCTACAATTTGCTATTGAATACATTAGCTTGCAGATGTGGTCAATATAAAGAAAAGCACTGATAATGCTACTGTGTATTGAGAAGTACTCATTAAGTTATTGTTTGTACCACAGCAAAAGAAAAAAAAACTTTGGGCGATCTCTAATTTAGGCGAATGTCTTTAAGCTCTATTAAAAATGGCAACTATTTAATTATTTTATTGCATTATTCCCAGGCAGCAGGCATCAAACTGACAATCCTACTTAAGAGCCAGACATTAAGGACATTGTGTGGAAGGATATTAAGACATAGTGTCATTTGAAAAGGGGGATCCAGGCATTTATAGAGTGTATTTATAGAGCACAAGTCTGCCCCAAAGCATGTGAGGTTGAAGTGGAAAATGTGGAACATGAAAAACCTACCTGGGAGTAAGATTTTGTTACGTTTATTGTTTTTTTGTTAACTTCTGTGTACTGTACTGTACATTGCCAATGTTCATGTGTAATGCACTTTTTTTTACATTTTGTTAAAATGATGTCCAGTCTAATGTTTATCATGGAAATAAACCATTTCCTCTGCATAATCTCATCATTCAGTTAAGTGTTCTCGCTGCATTAACACTGTTTTCATTGTAAAAACATATTTTGATTAAAGAGCTGATCTATATTTAGATTCCCTATAGAACTTATACAACATACCTTTATTGAAATATACTGTACACCTTTTTTTATGTGAATCACCTCTGTCTGCCCCTGGCTGCTTTGAGTTAAATGGACAGGGCGTGCTTATTAAGTTAGTCAAATGAAGTCAGTCTGACATCATGGGGCAGGTGACTGCTGAAGATCTCCCAGAAAGACTAAAGTCCTACTGGACGACGGCAGGCAGAGCATCAGCCTTGGTAAGTATATTCCTATAATATGTGATTTTATGTCAGTGTGATGCCGCTTTTTATATAACTTCTACAATTACAGGCAGTTGTTTGAAGTAAAGTACAGTTAAGAATAGTCATATCGACTGTCATGGTAAATGCTACAGTAACATAAATGTTTTTTTATCTCAATATTTCAAATATCTACAGTGTCTGAAAGATCCGTTCTTTGGTAATGTAGACTGATCTGTGTTATTCAAGTCAAGAAATATCTCAACATGAGCTGTAACATTGGATAAAAACATTGTGCCACCTTAAAGTAGCAGCACATTCTGGTTTTATGACCCCATGCCTTAAATACTGCGCTGAATATTTTACTGTCAAACTAGATTATGTGTCCGTATATCTTCCTGTCCTCATGCCTATTTGAATTTGAGCTTGTTTGCATGTGATGCACTCAACGCTCCAAAGGAAAGGCACAGTATTCTGTTGGGAAAAACAAAACCCATGGTGAGCCCAGGCTAATAGTGTGTGCACTCAAAGTCACAAGCCTCTTCTAAACTGTGAGAGACAACAGTAATGGGAGATGGACAGAGACAGAGGGAGAGAGTTTCACAAGCTGATGTCACAGATTCCTCCCAACTGCTGCCATGATAACACATTCATCCCAAAATAACACTTTAGATACACTAAAGCTGCAAGTGAACGCATCTGTGAATTGTTTTGAGCCACATCAATCATACAAGAAAACCAGAGAGCTTAATATTGTCAGCAGGTTTCAAATGAAAGCTCTAAGTCAATTTAAGGAAGCAGGTGAAGGGCAGTATGTCACAGTCAGATTCTGGTCAAACAAGGGCAATTTAAAACACTCAAAACTTAGCTCTGGACCAATTAAAAAACTTTTGGTATTAAATAAAAATAATTGTGCAAGTTCTACTCATGTGAATGTATGATAATGTACCTTAGTTGTACCCTCATAACCCTGTCAGATAAACTCAAGTTACTAGTTATCATCTATGCTATTTATCTATCGTTTTTACATAACTATTTTAAACTGCTTCAATATGACTTTCAGCAAAGTAACTGTATGTCCTCGTCTTTCTTACTTGTTTTTATGCACTCTCAACATTTGTGTTCAGAGATAACAGTTGCTATAACATCATCTCCAACTATAAGTTCCCTGCGTTAAGAAAGACTGGTGCATACAACAAGAACCATAATAAACAGAATTCAAGCCCAAAGGCTAATCATTTAATTTATGTTCTGTGGACGAGCAAGTTGTTTAAATAGACGGGCCTGTAAAAAATGAAGTGTCACTCAACGCCCGTCAGGCTTGAAATAGCTCAAGCAGCAGAGCACATGATTGCAGATGCAGGGTGAAGAGGTTCAGCCACCTCTCTGTCCTCACTCTGCTGTCAGCTGATGAAAGAAGCAAACCACATTAGCATTAGCATGGACTCTACATCGACTTAAGTGTGTCCCCCTTAAAAGCCCACCTGATGCAAGCAACAATACATGTGTCCATTCAGTTGTTTGTAAGCTTAAAATACTCTGATTCCACATGCCACGTCCAAGTCAGTTGAGCTGTTTTCCAATTGCAATAATCCCTCATCCTCCTGACAAACAATTCGGATCAGAAGTCAAAGCACTTGTGACTTGAATCATGTATTGTAGGTGACCTTTATAAACTGTGTAACCAAAACAAAGATAAACATTCAGATAGTTTGAAGGGACGCACAAACACGCCTTGTCTCCAAACCAGTAATTGACAGTGCGTGATGTCTCACAGTGTGCTGGCTCTGAGGGGACATGTTTACTGAATTAGATAGTCACATATCATATAAATAGGCCTTTGGTGTCATTCAATACATATCCATTTGGTTTACAAAGAGATTAGACCTGTTTTTTCTCTTAGTGTTTTATTTGACCTTGGCACCTGGCAGCTGACCTCCTATCTCACTTGTCTCGTTTCTTTTTTGGCCTCCTGACTCACTAGCAGCAGTCCGACCATGCTTTAATTATAGCCACCACAGCATTCCTCCATGACAGAATAGGGGGAGATAGATAGAGAGGGCATGGAAGGGCAAGCGTGAGCAGTATAGAAGCATATACAAAAATAGAGAAAAGTTCAAGATGGTTATAAATAGACATTGGGATGGTGAGGCAATCCATCCTCATGACATCATTGTATTGACATGTGTCTCTCTCTTTTCCTAATGCCAAGATTGAACAACCATGGGCCAAAAGCTGGAGAAGTTGTCGGAAAAAGATGAAGAGTCGCTCGACAGTTCTGATTGGTCGGGGCAAACTGAAGAGCAGTCGGAGACGGCGCGACCAGATGAGAGCAGAGATCAGGACGATGGCAGTTTTGCGACCCCTCTGGGTCATGGTGGGAGCAGCCCTGCCACTGGGCACCAAGGGGATCTCCCTGTCACTTCTGCACGTACAGACCCCCAAACTGGGCAGCCAATCAGACATCAGGGTCAGCAGGAGCACCATCTGAACACCAAGGGAGAAATGGTGGGAGGAGACAAGGAGAGCCGGTGTGTCACTCCAACTGCAGAGAAGTCAAAAACTGTCCTGAGCCCTAAGGAGACAAGTCCAACTTTAAACAAAAGTCAAGGCTGGAGGAGTACGTTGGTGATTCATACTGTGACTACAGCTATGGAGGAGCAGGGAAATGGGAAGAAATCCGAACTTGGTCATAGAAAGTTCTGTCCGGACACTCGGACAGCCTCATGCGATTCCACTAATGAGGAGGACTTTGTGGTGCTGGACAAGGATGAGACTTGGATGACATCTGATGGGGAACATAAATTAGCCTCAGGGAAAAGGATAAACACAGAGGCGCCTCAATCCGCTAATAGAAATAGAGCTGGAGGAGACGTTTCTGCGTGTGACGATAACCTTCCACGACCTTCCAGGCATGCCCGTCAAGATAAAGGTAATGAGAAGAAAAGCAGGAGAAGATCTGACTCCCTTTCACTCATAAATGACAGTGAGGAAGCGCATGCAGAGGGTTCAGCCGAAGTCTGTTTTGAGAGGGAAATGGGTCAACATTCGGCTGAAGTGACAGGCAGCAGGTGTCGGCTAAAAGGAGCCGGTCATGTTGGAGCTGCTGCCCAGACTGAGACAACTGGGAGTGGAAGAGCAGAGAGGGAGCAAAACCAGAATGGCCACAGCAAGGGGAACGATTTTACCAACGGTAATAAGGAGCAACTGTTAACACAAAACAACAGCATCTCAGCGGAAAGATTGAGAAAGAACACCAATGATGAAGAAGATTTACTTGATGAAGAAGGCCAGTTTATTGCACAGGAGGAGCCGCGTGGACAGAGAGATATGAAGTCAAAAGGGGATCATTCTTTAAGAGAATCAGAAAGTCAATATTCAGGATTGAATGCAAACAAAGCACATGTAGATCAGTCCCATCAGAGAAGGTTTTCTGATGCTGTCTCTAGGAGGGCCAAAGCAGGTAGTTTATGTAGCAATAAAGAGGAAAGCCAAACACCACCTCTGCAAGACAATCCACTAATTTCAGAGGAACAATGCAATTTAATCCCTCGTCCTCTGCCAGACAATGAAGGTTTTAAGGAAAAGATACAGGTTGCAACCTTAAAGAAGGAGAGACAGCTCATTTGTTTCTCTGCAGTCATCACACCTCCAGCTTTGACTCGTATGATGCCTGAGAGAGAAACATCAGAGACACAACTCGATACAAGTATGGTAAACGTTGATGAATCTGTACCAAAAGAAAAGCCCAAAGTCAAAGGTCCACCTCCACCTGTCCCCAAAAAACCAAAAAACCCATTCATGAAGCTCAAAACTGCACAGTTAAAGTCTACTAATGGGCAAAGGAGAGGCAAAGATCATCTGCGTTCTGAGGAGAGGGTCAAGAGGAGACACACTTTTGATTTTAACAATCTTCCGTGCTACACTTCAACTAATCAGGACATGTGCTTGCTGTGGGATGAAAAGGGCACTTACAAGGTGCCACCTAATGTACGGCGGCTCTCTGTCGATCTCAGCCCATGGGAGCACCTTTCGCTCGGACAAATGGACGAGCAGTACGGAGGCATGATCGACTTTGAATACTGCGACCGTGTGGCAAAGCTGTCTCCCGATGAAGAGTTGCCAAACCTTGACATGATGGAGAGAAGAGTATTCCTGGAGAGACGATCCAGATTCAAAAGCTCGGCTCCTCCGGTTGCAAACAAGCCCCCCAATCGGTGTACGTCAAAAGAGACTCTTAACACACATGAGGGGACATCACACAGTGAAAACCAAAGACAAAATCATGCTAATTCCAGGAAAAGAGAAATCTACCCTGAGTTCCCATCTGAAAGAGCCAGCGAGGAAAACCATGATAGGCGTAGAGACAACCACAGTAGTGATAGGAATGCAGGAAGTGGCAGTGAGGTGGGATCTTACAAACCTGTAGCCGTAATCATCAAAGAAAAAAATCAAATGCAGAGAAATCCAGCCAGGGTCAAACCTGAAGGAGCCAGGGCTCAGGTTCGGGTGGCAGAAGAGGGTCCAAGTGTGAAAGTATCCCAAATAAAGAATACCTTTGATGTCCCAAAGAAAACCAAAGAGAGGCCACCAGAAGTTCAGACCCCTCCAAAGAAAGGTAAGGACTTTGAAATGTCATCAGTTCTGATCTTTTTATTACCTCAATGGTTTATCAAAGCATTCATACACACAAAGGCACATGTGTTATATTAGGATGACAGGGTACTTCCCACAGAATGAATACCACAGACTGTCATGTGAAAAACATTTCATTTCACATATCATGGTACAACTTTAATTAAAGTATTCTCTGTTTTTCTTTGGAACCAACTCAAAACAAGTTTAATAACCTCCAAAAATAAATTGTCATGTTTGGAAATCATCTCCTATGAATGGGGAGACAGTTGAAGTTGTTTCAATTGATTTTTAAACTGCAACGACAGCTTCTATTTGAGTTTTAAGGATATTTGTTGCCTCTTTTAGCTCATAATTTTTTTTAACAGTTTTATTCAAAGCAGCTGATGTATGCTTTCATGCTCCGCCGGTTATGCAAGACCAGGATGTTTTGTTATACAACATATTAAATGTTCAAGTCTAATTCGATCAAGATCCTTGTTTTTTGTCTGGTTTGGAGAGTAATTTAATATAAAACAAAACAAGGTTTTCATATCTGAACTGTGATCCAGTAACAATAAATCAATATTTCATCTTCCTTTCAATGAATCAACCATCCAAATTGAACCTCTCGACAATGACAGTGCTTGGTTTTGAATCTGGGTCATGGTGTGTGTGTGTGCAGTATGAATGATTTCACTGCATTAACCACATATTCCTTCCACATCCCAGACAAGTGCAGCTTAGGGAAAACTGGAGACTCACATTCACCCCTAGGTGTAAATAAGAGTATTTATGTGTTTGTCTATCATTATAATCACTGTGAATGTCTTGGAAACTGTCAATGGGGTTTCCTCGCTTTCTGCTGATGCATACCGGGACAGAGTCAAAACTCCTTGACCTTTAAGAAAAGTCAGGTGAAGAGAGATGCAAATACATTTTCTAACAACATTTCCCATTCATTCATGATTTTAACAAGCTGTTATATTAATGTCGTCATGATTTTTGTCAAATAAAATGTCAATCTACTTGTGCAAAGTCGCGCTGATTTAATATTAGATTATGATTACCCAATAACTATGAACTGTTCAGATAGTATATCCTCTAATTTCAGTCCAATTCACAAGGCCATTAACATAAGAATGCACCAAAAAGTTGGCTACTCAAAAAAATATGTATTGTCACATTAGCGGCTGTATAGAAGTTTGACCAAAAAAAACATCAATCCCAAGTTCCACTTGCCAGACTTTTGAAAACGTGTAGCTGTATGTGTTTTAGGACTTCTCATCTGTGTTGGCCAATAATTGTGAAAGTTAGTTATTGGCCTTGAAAATAAACCAAAGCCCTGGGGGAAAAAATAAGAAATGTCTCAGTTTTTGTCAAATTGTTGCAAGTTAAATGATTAACTTTAGTGCTATTTTGACATTATTACAGACATTCGAATTCCACAAAATGAAAGACCGGCTAAGAAAGGCTGGATAATTAAACAGCATTAATATGAAAGAAAATAAGCTAATACGAATTTTAGAAAACTTGCATTTAAAGAGTGCAAATTGTCCTGTAAAATCATAGAGACAATTATAAAAGAAGGACTGGTTATTAGATTTCCATGAGTACTTGGGATGTGTGGGTGCATAACAGACTATAGGGGGGCTTCTTTATTGTGTTTTGACAGTGTAGGCTGGGGTAGGGTGGGACGGGACTGGGGGGAGGGGAGGGAAGGGACCATGATAAAAAAGATGCTCCTGGCAATGAAAATCCACATTTTTGCATAGCTGAACAAAAATCCAATCATTTAGTAGGTATTCTTCAGAAACCACGAGGAGGTAGCCAAAACTCGGTTTTCCTGCAGCCCCATCCCCATCCCCATTCACAGCCTTGGGAAATGAAATCTCACTTTCCGTTTGCGCATGTGCCGTGGTCGGTCGTATCCTATTGAATGTAATAACGATGAGAGTAGACGATTGCTAGTCTCCCGCAGGTGAGAAGCAGACAGGGGATGCTCTATTTATCAACCGGCATCCAGAAACACCTCCAGATTTAAAACAGAGACTCCGGGCCGCATATTTGCAGTCAGAAAGGGGAATAAATGCAAAGCGGTTGATCTTTTTTTGTGGAGACAAGGGATACTAGAGCAACGTCCTGCAGGATAAGGGCGCGCCTAAACTACCAGATTCATGTGTTGTGATTGATTACCCCCGTGCTTACGAAAATCTTGCATAGATTTAGGAGGTAAGAAAGCCTACAAAGTCTTTTTTTACATTGTGCATTTTGCATGCTATCTATGGGTCGGGGCTGTGCAGCATCCATTAACTCGCTGGAGGAGTTTGAGAATGGGAGCAGCCAAAAACCTTTGGTGGAAATATCTGCACTTGCGTCAGCTGGCCGCGGTCCACCGCAGCTAACAGTTAGCAGCTAGGCTAGGTGGCTAACCTAGCTAACGGATGGTTCGGATGCATAACACACAGTGGCAGGCTAGTGGAGCAGCCATTCATAAAAAGCACAATGTATAGTACCAGGACAGCTCTTTATTGACAACATGCATGAGCCTTATTGTTACTTGTGTGGAAATTGTTTTAGAAACAACCCCTAAGGTTGCCTGCTCCTTGTTTGAGATGTAAAGTGTCAGTGTGTCAGCGGCTGTTCAGACGGGACCAGCCCCGGCAAAGCTGCCGAGCTGCCGCCGGGGCAGTGCGGCGGAACCCGGTCCATGGTTATCTTCACAACTTTAACTTCACATTACTTATCAAGTCATTTGTTACCCATCCAAACGTTCAAATGAGCCACATGCTTTGTTTCGTTTACAAGTGATAGTCACATCTGGAGCTTCACCACAAGAATCTGCATACACGATCCATCCCCTTGTTTCAGGGACGTTAGCCAGCATAGCTAGCTTAAGTTATCTCTAACCAACGCTTTTCCACAGCGTTTCCCACTCTATTACTGTCTTTACTTAAAGTACTGTACCACCATGATGGCAATGTAGTTTTTAATCACATATGAGCCTCGTTATGTGATATTTGAGTTTGTAGCGACAAGTTCTAACTAAGAGGAGGGGGCATCGAGCTTTGTGGTATCAGCTAACGTTAGCTAGCAACCATTGTTTAACGTTAGCACAGTGCAGCTGTTTCCACCTCCATTGGATAATTGTGTTTATTCAGCATAAACCTGCAAAAAAATGCATCATGTTAGCATAATAAAAAGGGTTTAAGGTTGGGTGAAGGGATGGTGATTGCATCTTTAATTGTGTCCTCCCATTTAATCGCGTTGTCTAAACAGTGAACTAAAAGACAAGGATATGCCAGACTCCTGCTGGGATGACTATATTTGTATATCCTTTAATTTGTTTCTCAGCTTGCACTGGACAAATAATATCAAAGCAGTGGGCTAGGCTCTAACTGCTGAAACAAGGCAGTCCACCATCACTCTGTTATGCCCCACTGTGAGTTGGATGGTAACAGCACTAATGTACGGCATCAGGGGCTGAAGCAGCTCATTTTGTCAGATGCATATTTTAAATTGTGGTAGCACTGATATTTGCTGAGGGAACAAGCTGTTCTCGTGTGTAGTCTTCTGCTGTCCAGGCATCATGCAGTCCTGCAGCAACATGAACGAATGTCCACGACAAGTATTTGATTCATAAAAATAGTCATGTCTAAATGGTAATAGTTACAGATGAAAGTGGGTTTATTTTAGGCTGAATGTATGCCAACTGTACTGGTATGCTGTGTGTGTACTGTAGGAAGAGGAAACTGCCATAAAATCAACTTCAAGTGTAGTTCTGTTTATGCAAAATAGCTGTCTATATTATGAGAAGGTGTTATGTGTTCTGACATTGAATGGTATGATGATTGACGTTAAATTATTAGTGCCCATTTTCTTTATTTGCATCAGACGGATTGGTTTCGTTTGAAAACAACATACATTTTTTTTTCTAAATACTATTTTGACTTCATATTCTACACAATATCCTTAAAGATGTATGTTTAATCAAAAACAATTTGTACACACCCTGTCCTTAAACAGATTGAATTAGGTGAACTAACTGAAAACACCTGTGTGAATATTTCTGCTGAATTCCAATAATTGTACCTTTCCTAAACATTTAACAATTACAAAAATAGAAGAAAACTAAGTATTTACAAGCTAATCCATGTTTCTTTATCTGATCGAAAAGGCTTTGATTCAGCATTCCATTTTCAAAACAAAACCCATGTCTGAATGTGAAGAAGCAGGTGGTGTGCTATCACTGGGGGAAAATCCTGCAGCCTGTATAACAGCTCAGTATGTCGCTTCAAACTGGCAGCATAATTAGACACTATTTATTCCACATAATTACACATGATAGCTTGCAACTGAAATGATGAAAAATCACCTTCAAGTATTAAGGCCATATTTTAGGATTTACAATAGACCATACAAGACAAGTTTAAGGAGAATCACATAGTGTTTGGTTTCCATGTTTAAGCTGCAAATCCCATCTTTACAACGTTCAAAATGTCAGCAGTAGAGTTTGCAGTGAAACCAATTATCTAGTCTAGTTGAATAATGTTTTTTGAAGCTGTAAGCAGAAACAAGAGTTGAAGAAAATAGAGGTGAACATGCTTACGGGCGCACTTTGCCACAATGTGATCATTAAATGCATATCAACAATTGAGATAATTTCAAGAATTCTGGTTCAGCAGAGGGCCATGTGGTAAAAGTAAAACATCCCTGCAGGCATTTTCTCGTAAATGCAAAGTAAACCCCTTTCCTGCAATCATATCAGTAAACTCTAAAATATGTAGTCCAATATCCAATGGCAATTCTGTTTCGTGCCTTGGACATTTTTCCTTTTTTTCTGCCTGATTGTGATTCTCGCTCTGTGGTAGCAACTGCCAGGCTGCAGATTTGTGTTCTGCAACTTAATTACATTTTCAGAGGCAGCACCAAGTACCCTAAAAATTAATAATAAGTACATTTGTGCTCTTATCTAGTTGCTGTAAATTAAGCATGTCTACACTCCTATTTAAATTATAAATACATGTGTATATTTTTTAATGCACTTTTATTATTAGTATTATGCTTTCGGTACTTACAGTTTTTTCGATGGCATTAAGTAATATCTCTAAATATATATATATATTGTGAACTTCTGCCTTTAACTATTTCAACATTGCTGTTTAATGCTGTGCAATATTTGTAATCGCAGACCTTTTTTGGTACTGTTAATTTCCTCATTATATATAAGTGTAAAATATTATATGGTAAAGTTTTGAGTCAACCATTTCTGCAGAACTTGAACATTTTATCTGTATTTAGATAAAGAGGTAAATACAGCTGCAGTAAAAATGTGTCTCATGAATAGTTTAGCTCAAATGTTTGCCAGAAGGTAATGCTGATTTATTTCCTTTGCATGCACGAATTAAACTCAGTCACAGCTGATACGTATAATCTCAGATCAGACAAAGTGTGCTCCCAGTAAACCAAACTAACCCCAAGGTTTCTTCGGTGGGCTTAATTTTAACAGAAAGATCCTCATATCCAGATTTTACAACATCAATTTCTGTGGGAAAATTGCCACTTTTTATTGTGGTAACACATCTTTTTCTTGTATATGAGAATGGTTTTGATTGCTTAACATTCAAAACTGTCCCTCTTACTTTACTCTTGTTTCTCCGTACAGATATGTTGCGGCGAGTTGTGCGACAGAGCAAGTTCCGTCATGTCTTTGGTCAGGCCGTGAGGAACGACGCGTGCTACGATGACATCCGTGTGTCCCGAGTCACCTGGGACAGCTCCTTCTGTGCCGTCAACCCCAAGTTTGTCGCCATCATCATAGACGCCAGCGGGGGAGGAGCCTTTCTTGTACTTCCTCTACAAAAAGTGAGTGGCGCCCTGGAACACCTCCTAATTTCCATTAAAAACTGATATTTTGAAGGGCTGTTACTGTTGAGTTGTGAGGTCCAAGCTTACACAAAAATAAAGAGTTTAAATGTATTTAGTCCTGGGTTTTTCTAAGATTTGTGGTTCTGATTTGACATGTTTCAATCTTACACATAGGGCCCTTAACTGTCAAGTAGAAATAAATAGTTGCATGTCACTTGTCATCAAAATAGGACACAGTGGTTGTGATGCTTACCCATAGAAACAAGGGTTGTACTGTAACAGTATAGCATTCAGTGCATGTAGCAAATTAATCCTAAAGGCTAGTTCTTGGTCAGCAGACCTTGTGCACCATGCTGCTGTGACCTACCAATCCCTGAGGCTCATATCTATAGTAAAAACCACAGATAATCAATGTTTTGAATCTGCCTGAATGTAAAGGCATCCAATGAGTTTCCTGTTGACTCATTGAACACATGATACCCACAGAGAGGAGGGGTGCTGCGTCCTTATTTTAGGCCACTGGGTTAATTGATTTATATCTTCTGTGTATATCCTACCTCTGCTATAACTTTAGGATATTCAGGTGGACAACATGATGACACTGGATGAGGTCAAGACATTCAAATGGGTTTATTGTGTCCTTTCATTTAATTTTGTTCGGGGTCATAACAGGCCAAAGGATTATATGTATTCATGTCACCAAGCCATTTCCTGTTGTTGTTTAGCTTGTGATTCTAGTGAGTGCCCCTCTCTCCTCACATTGTCAACCACCACAAACTAATACAATAAAATACAATTGATCTTTGGGAAATATTGGCTGACATTTTAGTTCTTTTATTTTCAAATGTTATGAGGTAAAAATACATTTATTCGACTTCTGAGTGTATTTTTAGTACAACTATTATTCTAGTGCTGTGTTTTTAGCAAATAATTTCAACAGATAATGATGAATTTTGGATTTGACGGTCATACAGAGTTAGTAAATATATTGTAGTCTTGCAGAGGACTGAACATAACTTTCATAGATGAGTTCAATTAGCCCTGTCCGTCAGTCATTTTCATATCTCACTGACTGATATCAGTTTACAGGAGGACGCAGCTCACACTCTGTAACAAAGTTGTCTTCTGTCTCACAGTCTGGCCGTATAGACAAGTCCTACCCCACAGTATGCGGTCACACGGGCCCAGTGCTGGACATCGACTGGTGTCCTCATAATGACCATGTCATTGCTAGCGGCTCGGAGGACTGCACGGTCATGGTAAGGACGCGCTTTATCTCAACACGATCACATGTGCATTGAGTTTTTTTTTTTTTTCTGTTATATAATGTTTGTTTTAACAGTTAGAAATGACAAAAAGAGAGACGCATACATCCCAGTGTTCTAATCTAAAGGATCTGTGCTGGATCAAAGAAAGAGATGAAACAGATAGATATACACACCAGATATCTCCCATTAGAAGCATTTGTATTTATGCTGTGTAGCTTTTTTTGCCCAGAATAGGGTGTTTGTAGTGTCTTTTTGTAGCTATTTTTTTTTGTTGCCAATGCTGATTTAGCCCATGTCGAACAAAGATACGTTTTCCTGTGAAAGCAAAGCACTTCCAAACTTCAAATATAATAATATACTTTACTTTTTATATAGCCTCTTTCAAAAGTAACAGCAGAAAGAAGGCATGAAAACATACAACATCTATGACACCACTTTAACAGGACGAGCGAGAGCTAGATTAAGGCAATGCTGTAAATAAAGCGTGTCTTCATATGTCGTTTAAAATAGTCACAAAGCTTGCATCTCCTTGGCTAGGGAATTTAATGTTTTTGGTGCATGGTTTAAAAAAAAAACCCAGAGCTGCTTATTCCTTATAAGTGGGATTGTTTGTATTCATCTAAAACATCTGGTTAGACAGAATTTGTCATCTAGGAGGGTCCCAAACCTTAAGATATGTTAATGTTAAAGTAATATCACTTTTAAAACAATCTTAAAAAACACTTTGATTTAGTGGGACTAGCTTAAACTGGGGTGAAATATCAGCATTTAGACAAAGCTTTAATATATTGTCTGTAGTCCACTCTTCAGTTGAGTACTGTTAAACTATTTTAGTGGAAATATTTTCTCTGTCTAGTGTCTGGTATGCAACCTGTTCATTTTTCTGGCTCAGGTGTGGCAGATCCCTGAGAACGGGCTGGAGACCCCCCTCTCCCAGCCGGTGGTCGTGTTAGAGGGCCACTCCAAGAGGGTGGGCATCGTGGCTTGGCATCCCAACGCTCGCAACGTTCTCCTCAGTGCAGGTAACCTTCAGCTGTACACCCACTGCTCTCAAACTGAAATACTGTTTTGGTTATTGTCTGCCATTTGTCCACTGTGCACAGCTGAACTCCAAATCGGACCAATCACCTCACAGAGGGCCTTCTGTTGTGTTGCTTTGTGTGATGTAGGGTGCTTAAAATAACCCTTGGACACAGTGGTGTGTGTGTAGTCAGGCTGTGCTGCATGTGTCCATTTTAGGCTGTGACAACCAGATCGTCATTTGGAATGTGGGCACGGGAGAGGCCATGATCAACCTGGAGGACATGCACCCTGATGTTATCTTTAGTGTCAGCTGGAGCCGCAATGGCAGCCTGCTCTGCACCGCCTGCAAGGACAAAAAGGTCCGCGTCATCGACCCCCGTAAAAAAAAGGTTGTCGCGGTAAGTGGAAACGCCGCGGGGATTTGGGGGCTTGGATGTTTCCCTTGTAGAATAATCTTTCCCAGAATCAACCCCCCCCGAGTTTGACTCAAAGCACATACAAACATGGCTGCCCAGTCTGACGAGTGTGTTTCTGTTTTTAGGAGAAGGACAAAGCTCACGAAGGAGCTCGGCCAATGAGAGCGATCTTTTTAGCAAACGGAAACATTTTCACCACTGGATTCAGCCGCATGAGCGAACGCCAACTGGCCCTGTGGAAAACTGTACGTCAGAGAAGTGGATCTCCTTCAATCCTGAGCACAACACACTGATACATCACATAAACACAGCTATCCATATTAAACTTTAACTTCTTGAACTATTGTAGAACCTGCATTTTGCAGCTTCTTGGCTGTAATACAAACCCAAATACTGTCAGGGGTTTCCATCCGTTTTCATGTTCAGCCTGAATGTGGGTTGAGGGTTATTTTTTACTATCAAATGTTCCTTTTCATAACACCGTAGCTCCAGCTGGGGGCGTTAAATTCAAAGGAAAACACCAACACTTCATTTCACTTTTCCACTTGCAATAACAAGGACTTTCTAATGTATTGGCAGAATAGGATTTGTTCTTATACATTTTTGGCTAAACCTTTTACTACTCTTTTTTTTTTTTTAGGAGAACCAAAGCTAAATATACTTGTATAGGATACTTTATTTTATTGTACACTGCTTTTTACTTTATAAAAATATCTAAGTACTTTTTCAAACCAATGTCTCTAGGTGAGATTGGTGCCCTGCAATTCAAAGGTCCTCCATAATGAAACGTTGCTTCAAATACTGTATTCTTTTGCTTCCAGGACAACATGGATGAGCCAATATGTGTTCAGGAGATGGACTCCAGTAACGGGGTCCTGCTGCCCTTCTATGACCCCGACACCAGCGTAGTCTACCTGTGTGGAAAGGTGAGCAGCCTTGGAAAGAACCTCTTGTTTTTTTGTTTTTTTTATAATCAATGAATTGTAAAACTGACTTGAGTTGTGACTGTGTGTCCTCAGGGCGACAGCAGCATTCGGTACTTTGAGATCACTGACGAGGCTCCGTATGTTCACTACCTCAGCACCTTTTCCACCAAGGAGCCCCAGAGAGGCATGGGATACATGCCCAAAAGAGGCCTGGATGTCAACAAATGTGAAATTGCAAGGTATGGCAATAATTATGTTATTGTTATTCAAAAAATGTGTGGAGTCGCACACAGTATAAAACGCTTTTTCATTTTTTAAACAGGGTCTTTATCGTTTTTAAACATACAATAATACATTTGCGATATATACATTTAAATAATTGATCTTTTCTGTTAAAATAAGGTTGAAATGTATATAATTACTCTTTCTGTCTCTGAATGTCTGTTTTAAAGGTTTCCATGTTGCAGTTGCTGTTTATAATATTATTAACATAACAATAATCCTCTTTTAGGTTTTACAAATTACATGAGAGAAAATGTGAACCCATCATCATGACAGTCCCACGTAAGGTAAGTCTGTGTTGGTATTAATTAATAAAGTATGCATTTTCCCCGCTGTCTTCATTTCCTCATGACATGTTTTGTGTCCTCTCCACCTGCCCAGTCGGATCTGTTCCAGGACGACCTGTATCCCGATACGTCCGGCCCTGACCCCGCCCTGGAGGGGGAGGAGTGGTTCGCTGGGAAGAACGGAGGTCCTCTCCTGATCTCACTCAAGGACGGCTACGTCTCCACGAAGAACCGGGTTCTAAAGGTGGTGAAAACAAACGCCCTGGAGACCAAGCCAGTCACAAAAGCAGAAAACACCCCCACTGTCCAGAAGAAGCACGTCTCTCCACAGCCCTCAGTAGTGAGTGTCAACATGTCTTTTCCCACTTATTGTTCCTTTTATCATTCTTAAGTTTTTATATATAACTAGCTTCTTAAAAGTGCTTATTACTTATTCCTCGAATGAAAAGTGTTGCACTTTTTAAACTCTCCTACAGCATTTTTTGCTGACATTTGGACTCTCCCATTAACAGTAATTATTATGGTTGGAACAATTCTCTAAAGTTATGGATCAGCACTTACTTTGGTATTTGGGTCATGACTCAGCAGAACAGCAAGGGAAAAATGGTAACTGCTGTAGGGCTTCCTTGCCTGTAATATCCCTGCTCATTTTCCAGATTAACAACAAAAAGTGATTTGAAATAGATTAAACACAGAAAATGACCCCTCAAAATAGACAGTAAAGTTCTGAAAAACGTTTTTTTAAGAAGTTGACTAAATCTCTTTCCATTTTTGACCAGAAAATGGACCAGAAAATGGAAGATAAACTGGAAGTAGTCCTCCGAGAGTTTAAGTCACTCAGGGACCGCGTCATCCTCCAAGACCGTCGGATCGCCAGACTGGAAGATCAGGTGTCCAAGGTCTCGATGTAAGACGCCGCCCCCTTTGCTGTTTTTGGAGAGGAACCGAATGGTCGGGGTCAGTCATGGCCAAATCCTTAAGATTCGGCTTTCGGCTTGGTGTCATCCCACGATGAGACCAAGCCCTACATTCCAAGATTAACTTTTCTCATCATGTCTCCCATTTCACACTTTCCCCCGACACACACCGAGAAAAAGGAAAAACTCTCCAAGCTTGTGTACACTTCTGAAGAAAAGACATTTTTGTTTTAAGGATAAAGTCTTAACTTCTTTTTTTTTTATTGTGGTAAAACATTCTTATGTGAAGTTTGTACTTACTACTCAAAAACTTGTAGCATCAGTATTTCCATTGTTATTTTTCGTGTTGCCAAATATGAGTCGTGTGCGGTTTCATGCACTGCTTTTACATTTATTTGTTCTCCTGTCGTACATTCCAGTCACAACCTGGTAGATTGGTTTAGTCGAGCTGGATTTTTTTAAATAGCTGTTGAACTTTTTTCCTCCCACCAGTTTGCTCATTGATAACCATCAGATTTATGAATGTGGAGGAATTATTTTAAGACGTTTTGTTCCTGGTCTTCTGGGCTTGAAATGTAACATTGGGTTTTATTTGGGAGGGGAGGGGGGGTTGCATCTATATGGTGTAAATGTTGTGCAAAATGTAGTGGTGCCTCTTGTCACTGTTGAGGGTCAAATTGAAGTCGCCCTCTGCAGTGCATACGTGGTCTTGGGAAGGGACCACTCACCCAGCTTGTGTTTCACTGAACCCCTGACAAACAGTTCTGTGCACATAATAAAGATTTTACACAGGAAGAACTCTTTTTCTTTCTTTATATTGCTTCAGTTTTCATTCATCTCTATCCCTATAGGTCGAGTGTTTAGCTTATTGTGTGTCAGTGGGACTTGATACATATTCTTGACAACTGACTAATTGTTTTAGATAAAACTTAATTTCAGTCCCAACCTCCACCCAGGACTCGAGTCCTTTTCAGTTAGCTGTACGTATCTGATTTAAATGTTGATTGGATAACACTGGCTCTTCTGCTGTGGCAAATAGTTGTTTTTACATTTGATCAGGTGTGAAGTCAGCTTCAGTTTTAACAAGATATTCTGACTTTTTTCAGATTTCTCTGCATGATGCTTAAAAAATACTTGTCTCCACTAATTTCGGAATTAAATCATGACGACGAAAATAGCAAATGTACTCATTTCTTTCAATATAGGCCTGAAAAAGTCATTAAAAGGTAACAAGTTTAAAAACATGTTTTCCTTAAGACAAAATAATGCACTTCTACAAAATTGTGGACATGACTTCTGTCATTAGTAGCTATGGTCCTTTGTATAGTATGATCTTTAGCATTGAGACACTTAACACAGAAAATATAGAGTTTCGGTATTATTAAGCAGCAGAAGTTAATATCACTTTTTTTATTTTCTAAACCTCAACAGTGTTTTTTCTATCAACCACATCTCAATATGACTCAGTGACACAGGAAGTGACAGTTACAGTTGCCACACTTGAACATCTCTTTTTTCCTCACAGGATACAAAAGGGTGAGTCCAAGCCGTGCATTTTCTCTGTCTTTGCTATGTCCTTAAGCCAGAGCACTAAATCAATCTTATAATGATTATCTGTTGAATTGTTCTTGTGTAGCTGATGATCTTTCACTGTGGCCTTGGGTAGTTTTTTGCCCACATGACATTAAGCTACGATCTTAAACAGAAGTGTGATCAGAAGTTGACATGCGAGAATGATCTGTTTACAGAACTGAGTACTTCCTACTACTTTATAAAAAGTACTTGTCCGTAAATCAGTACAAGCAGAGCAACCATCCTAACCTGAGCTCCCCCTAACTTTTCCAATAATGAGGTAAGACATTTTTTCTTAAAATGTTAGATAGAAGATCTTGAAAAATTGAATTGATGTGAGGAGATTAAAAGATTCTTCTGATACATTTGACTTCCTTGCTGATGCAACTGAAGTGTCGCGTTTCTAAGGGGAGTGTTTGTATCTGTATCTATCTGAGTATCTGAAAATGTACATAGCCGTAAAAAAAAAAAGGTGTGTGAACATTTCCTGTTTCTTCTATCATGCAGTGCTACAGACGGCATGTCTGCTCGATGTATGTTCTCTTGAGAGGCTGAAATGAGATGAACTTTGGTCTGATTTTACCGTCACGTCCATCCCTGTGCTTAATCGAGGTAAGACACTGACCAGTTAATATCTTAGTGTATGGTGTAGAATAGCGTCTTAAACTTGCTCTCCAAAGGCTTTTTGTTCTATTAAGATATTCACTGAAAGAAGGTTAATTTATATATGTTCTTTACTTCATACATCTGACTTTGTAACCTTTGCTTCAGGTTACACCACTTACATATAAAAGAACGTTTGAAAGTAGATTCTGTTTGTGTAGACTCCTTTTAAATATGTTTCAAATGTACTCTCAAAATGCAGTAGTTCTTGTTTTTTCCTAAAAATGTAGCAATGGGTGTGGAGAAAGACGCATAACCATGTCCTCATAAGATGTCACTATCGCACACATGACACATGTTTTCTACTTTTGTGTCTTTTTACCACAATGTCAAGTTAAATCAACAAAGCTAAATTGTAATCCTTTCTGTCATTTCAGAAACAACAATGGTGCTACTCAACATGAAAACATATCTGGCCTTACTGTGGGGAATTTCAATTCTTTTTACTATGGAGTCTATGAGTGTGTCCATCCCAGAAATAAACTCAACTCCTGAACCAGACAAGACAACCAAGCAGATGACCAGTCCACATGTACGTCATATTAAAACTCACAAACCTACAGGAGTTACAAATGCACCAGCAGAGATCACTGTGACGCCCACTGTAGAAATGAAAATCGTCACTGGCGGAAGTGACCGCTCTGGTTTGGTTGCTATAACCTCTGTAGCAGCAACAACAAGCGACTCAGCTCCACAACTGCTTCAAACCTCCAGAGCAGAGGGCACAACCTCAGGGGAAGCACATCCGTCCCACACCACAATCTCAGAGGCAGCAAAACCTACAGAGGATCAGACACATCAACAATCACCCACCACCACCGATATAAGTGCTACACCTTCTGTAGCATTGGCAAAGTCTTCGCCGCAGCCTACCTCCACCCATAAGCTTGAAGTATCATCCGAGTTGTCTTACACCACCTCTCCTGCTAATACTGCTCAGGGTTCAGTCTTTACCCAGACCCTCGTCAGTCCCTCAGCTTCTACTACAACCATTTCCACATCCACCACCATGACTGAGATTTCTTCTACGTCTCAGCCCGTTTCTGAGACAACACCCATCTCCACATCACATATTCCTGACACAGCAGGGTTGAGGTCAACTGCTGAGTCCCCCACCAACTCATTCTCCACCGATTTACCCATCTCCACCACCAATGTGTCCACCACCATTGTCCTAACCACCATCTCTCCAACCAATGTCCCTCCAACCAATGTCTCCACCACCAATGTGTACACCACCATGGTCTCCACCACCAATGTCTCTCCAACCAATGGTTCTTCAACCAATGTCTCCCCCACCAATGACTCCCACTCCAGTATCTCTACAACCGAAGTCTCGCCAACCAATGTGTCTACCACCAATGTCTCTCCATCCAATATATCTACCTCCAATATTTCTTCCTCCAATGTCTCCCCATCCACCTTCTCTACCACCGATGTCTCCCCAACCAATGTATCCACCACCACCAATGCCTCTGCCCTTCCTGCTTGTGTACCCAAAAGGTTACCAATTCCAACCACCAAACAAACTCCGGTAACTACCACAGCACCTTGTGAAGTCTCAAAGAGCCCGTCCAGCATCGAGGCCCAACCCTGCTCCACCCGGGGCTTGGTGAAGCATTGCCTCATCGCCATTTCCTCCTTGGCTGCGTTGGCCACTTTCTTCATGGTTACTACCATCATCCTCTGCACCAGGCTGTCATCAAGGAAATACAAAGTGAAGAAGACTCCACAGTCCACAGAGATGATTTGCATCTCGTCCCTGCTGCCTGAAAGGGATTACACGTACTCGAGGCAACGCAATGCAGTCACTAACGGAGTCCTGGTGATGCACGGTGCGGACGACAGCGATGAGGACGGAGGAGACAACCTCACTCTCAGCAGCTTCCTTCCAGATAATGACCGCTATGTTTAGAGTGAATTATTATTATTAAAATCAGACTTCAGATTGGACTGATGGTTATGATCTCTGTAAAACAGTTGCATGAAGTCATGCTTCCGGTTGGATGTTGGTGGTTTGGCTTGACTGCGTTCTCTGTCGCTGCGAAGGAACAGACAGGAACCACAAACTAAACCAAAACAGTCACTGTTTCGTGTTAATGCACCATTAAGCATATCTGGCGTTTGTCCAGGCCATCAAATGTCTAGGCAAGAGTTATGACATTTTGCATATTTTTATACCTGCCCACAAAAGACTTTAAGTTAATTCAGGATGAAGACACTGATCAAAGACTGTTTTTTTTTTTTACATCCTGAGCTGAGCCCTGACGGTATTTCACTTAGCAACAGGAGACAGGAAGGCTTGTTTTGTCAAGGGATTAGTCTTCACAGACACTGTTCAGTTTACAGATGCTATTCTGGTAGCACTAGGGCTTCACTGTATGATTGATGGTAAACTGTATGTGCCTTGTTTATCCGGGTGCAGAGATGCAGCTTGTATATTATGATAACTTATTCAAATAATGCTTCATTTAACAGTTTGGCAATGCTTAACATTGGCTTGGTATCACCTAATACTGTTTGTTAGTTGGTACTATTTTGGGACACATGGAAACAATGTTCTGACACTCTTTACTTTGTTAGCTTTGTGCTGATATCCAAATGAATTTCTTGAAAGTACTACTAAATGTAATACCTAAATAAGAGTCTTAGTTACACTATATTTTAATTGAATGGGAATTTGTTATTTGGTAATCAAACAGCTTTAATTGGGGCTAACACCTTCTAAGGAAATTATTTGAAAAAGATTATACTTTATTGACTAAGAAACACTTGTGGGCTAATAATGTATGATGATCTCCAGTGAAAACAACAGCTATTTGTTCAATGTTAAAGGTGTTTAAAGTCCTCATGTGTCTCTAAACGGTAAACAGTCACAATAAAACTGTGTTCTTTGAAATAAGTCAGTTCCCTATTTTATGAAAGGCTTCTCTCCTATGCTGGACTGGATTTCATATTCACTTCCCTTCCTGTAAAAAGAAAACAGAGCCCTAAATGCTTATTAGGGGGGGGGGGTGTTCACAGTGAGCTATGTGCAACTGAAACAGTCACTGGTGATTATCAACAGAGCTGAGACAAATGTAAACCTGGAGTTTGCAGGACATCATCTCATGCTCCTAATGACCATATAAAGCTAGACTTGTCTTGCCTGATCTCAGACACAGCAGAAGTGGCCAAAATGCATTCACACACATACACAATCACTTGTATGGCCCTCTCATAGGCGGTCACACTCCCCCTAAAGTGGTCACACACACACACTGTGAGTTTAATTGCTTTCCTGTGGAGAAAAATCCCCCTTCTCCTGACTGTTACGGGGGTTTGTCCGCACAGGAAACATGAACCTCTTCCTGCATTAGCCGGTCACTCTTACAATCTGCTCTCTGACTCTCTTTGCCTCAGCGGGCCTGCTGTTAGTTATCACTGTCAGAGGCTGAGGTTGAAGATAAGGCCAGACTGTCACTGAGAGGCTTCTCCTGCAGAAATCATGGAGAGAGATATTAAAAGGAGAAACACATGTTGCAGTTAAGGACATTCCAGTGTTTGTTTGTGATGTTTTTCATTGTCATTATGTCTATGCCATGCACATCTTGTTAGCCTCACAGGAGAGTGGAGGAGAGGGTCCCTGCCCCCACAGCACTTTATAAACTCCTACCTAACAAGAACAATCTGTGTGAAGGCCGCAGAGCTCAGACACTCACTGGGAGGCTGAAGGGGGAGGAGAACAGTGGAGAGGCACTATCCAGACAAACCTCCAGCCTGAAATCTGAAACTTACAGAAGTGGCGTGGCTCGCCGAGCATTTGCAACTCTTTGCCGTGCTGTCTGTCCCTCACAGTTTATTTTTTCCAGACCGGTTTCACACATCATCCCTCAGAGGGGATTCCAACAGAGAGACTTCTCCTGCCACAGTGGATGGTGAGTAAAATGTTTCAACATTTGATAATGTTTTCTTTGGAGAGACATTGGAGGTTTCTTGGAATTGGTCATTTAAAGTGGCTGATGTGACGGCATCATGATGCATTCAGGGCAGCATCAACCCTCAGGAAGTATTATTAATGGCTATTAAAAGTCAAGAGACAATATTTTGTACGACATTCAAGTCAGAATCTAGGTCAGAGTTCCTTTTAGCAAGGGACAATTTCTTCCATGTGTATGCCTTATGTGTGTATGTGTCTGGCTGCTCAGACATTTGGTTGGGTTAAGTTTGTGATTAATGCTGAAAATAAAATACATCCCACTCCCCTTTTTCTGGATGAGATTGAGCCTCATGTAGCCCAGCTTGCACACATCTGGAGCAGCATGAGGATAACAGTGTTGGAGCTGCAGCCAATTTGCACACAGACTGAGCAGAGAGCTGGTTGTGATCCAACTAAAACATTACAGCAGGGTTTAAAGGGTCAGGTCACCCAAATTGAAAGACAGAAACACCTTAACACTCGTACCTCTTCCAGGATATATCCATGCAGATAGTTTTTGGTTTTATTTGGCATTGTTTTAATGTATTTTCTAATATATATGCTAGCCATTACCACAACGGTTAAATGGGAAAATATGCTCTTAATATTTGTAACTCTGTACACTGGGTTTCTGCTACAGCATGTTTGCTCAGTACACTCCTTGTTTCTAATAGTTCAGCCAATAATAAAATAAAAATAATAAAGCCAATTTCTTTACATTTTTGATGAAGAAGTAACAAGGTACAATCAGGTGAAATTGCGTAAAAGGTGGCCACCGTAGGATATGCTGCAGAGATATGTACAGTATAGAATATTGGTTAGAGGCAGTATTTATGGATGTATTACCAAATGGATCAATGCTTTTTATCATTGTGTGATCATCCCAATATGTATTAATGTGCATTTAAGTTACAGAGCTTAGTATATGTTTGGCCAACACCAGAAGGCCTTTGCAACTTTTGTGAAAGAAAAGAACATGAACTAATCAATATAACTATTTAGACAAATACAACTGATAATAAAAACGATTTAAATGTGGTGTCACTTGCCAATTGAGCATAGATATGTGACTCCTGGCAACTTTCTTTAGTGGAGGGAATATCCTTCCAGCCAAATGTTAAGAAAGGTCTTTGAGGATTCAGGAAATACCTTTAGAACAGGATGCAGCATTTTATTTTAAATGGATTACCAGGCATTTAGGTTTCATAAAAACAGATGTTCAGCTCTGTGAATCACATGTAAAGTCAATACATGAGGTATGAAAAGTATCTTCACATATGGCACTGACATGTCCGTTCACTGTTATTTACAGATCCTGAGGGGAAACCATGCTCCCGATGGCCCTTCATCTATTCGGTCTCTGCGTGGTGTTTTGCATCAGCAGCAGCTTGGCCAACCCATTAACTTTTTACAGTCCTCTCGAAGGAAGTACAGATGTGGAAGAAATCAGTATCTTAACTTCCTCTCTGCCCACTGGCAACCTTTCCTCTGAGTATCAAACTACTGGCCACCTTTCCTCTGAGTACCAGACCACACCTGCTGGCCCCGTCCATGTGGAAATTGACTTTCTGACTCAAGTGGTGGACTTTCTGCTGCAGAACATGCTCCTTATACTTGTCGGAGGCTCCTTCATCCTTCTTGTCCTCCTCATTATTTGTGGAGCAATCATAATGAGCCGCAAGCGCAAAGTCAATGCCTACTACCCGTCCGCCTTCCCTTCAAAAATGTACGTGGACCACATGGACAAAACCGGAGGAGCTAAGATCTTTGATGAAGTGCCAGAAAAACCCGTACCCGAGCAGGAAAGTGAGCCAGTGGACTCTCACAAGCAGCTCCAGGCGGACATCATGATGGCTGCCAAGAGGCTGCGTACACCAAATAAAGGTGTGGATGCTGCAGAGGGAGGAGAACCCAGTGAGAAAGTAGCAGACCAGAGTCCTGACAGCTCTCAGGCAGATGGCAGTATCCTGGAGGAGCTGCTTCCAACTCTCCCTGAGGAGAAGGAGCTGTGTGAGCTTTCTGACAGTGAAGCAGCTGCAGCAGGAGGCCCCGAGACGAATCCACCAGAAGAAGAGGATCCACAGGAGCCTTTGACTGGCAGGAGTCTCCGGCCGTCCTCTATGATTATCCACAATGACTCTGCTTCACTTCAGCTGATCGCAGGAGAGAAAACTGCCTTCTGAATATTCTGAAAACTGACATTAAAGCTTTGACTCCATGAATGACAATCACTCAACTTAAAAAAAACACCACATTTCAATCACAGCCATTTTTGCATGTTAATATTAAGTGCAGGGAAGGTGCACGCTGAAGGCTGTTGCTTTGCTCAGAAAATTATTTCCTGCAATATTCCAAACATGACTCACAAACTACCGTCATTAAAATCTGGTTCAGAACTTTTTGCTAAGCACGTGTATAATAACTTAAACAATGTACGTCCTAAATATTATGTACTTCTGCAAAAGTATTGACAGATCAGTACATACATGTTTAAAATGAGACCGGTAAAGAAAACCACTTCCCAAAAAGAGGTTTTGGTTTCAAGATACTTTTATTGCAGACTGTCAAGGAAGGATTACTAAACAACCATAAATAACACTTAAAACAAATGGACCCTTTCATTGTTTCAAGCCACTTTACTTTATTGCATATCAAAAGGTCAGTGCTTAGGGTGCATATAGGATACAGCTCTTAGCTTTCATCATTATCTCCATCACACCCCAAACACAATCCCAAAAATAAGGCTCACTTTTGTATCAACAGCCCAAAAAGTGTTTACATTGTGCGTTTACGTGACAGGCTATACGATACAGTATGCAGGGTTAGAGGAGCACGGACTAATACAGGAAACCTGTTGTTATACTGCTACGAGGGTTGACGATGGTATGCATCAACATATTAGGTGTGCCTCATCAATACTGCAGGGAATTGAGGATGTTGGACTACTACTACTTCTCCTCTTGGCAGCAGATAGCAACCAGTGGTCACCCAGCTCACTGTGAGGCGCTGCGTTTAAACGCTGGCCCTCACTGCCTCCTGCTGGTCGTCCTGTTGTTTGCGGCGATAGTCAGCCAGGGCAGCCTTGATGGCATCCTCTGCAAGCACTGAGGAGAAAGACATATATATTAGATATACATACATACATGTGTGGAATAGTTTGGAAAGGAAGAATATGAGAAATTCTCTCAAAACTTACTGGAACAGTGAAGTTTCACTGGTGGAAGACAGAGCTCTTTGGCAATGTCAGTGTTCTTAATTGTCAAAGCTTCGTCCACCTTAAAAGAAAAGCACATAGATAAAGTAACCAACACTTGAACAAAAGAGGATAAAAAGAAATGCAGGACACAATCTCCAGAGGCAGACAAGTGTCCTTAATGTGTACACTCACAGATTTCCCCTTCACCCACTCAGTGGCCAAAGAGCTGGAGGCGATAGCAGAGCCGCAGCCAAACGTTTTGAACCTGGCATCCACAATCTTCCCATGGTCATCCACCTCAATCTGTCCAAATGAGAATTTAATTAAATGCCAAAGGAAGAAAGTACTCCATTGTATAAGTAAATGATAATGATCCTGTTCTTAAACGTACAGGTAACAATTCCCCTTTTTTTTTTTATCAGTGGCTTACCATAATGGTTCCTGCTACTGTTCAACTAAATTACATTCTGTGTTGTTTCTAAAAAATAACTAGGGAAATGCTTTATAGCAATGCACAAATAAATAAATAAAATAAGACAAGACTTAGTACCATCATCTTGGTAAAGACGAATGTAATCTCTCTGTGCACAGTGTGTCGTTCCTCCAAGTACTTTTAAATGTGTGAATATAAATCAGTCTTAATGGCTGTGTGTATAAATAAAGGGTGTAATCCATCCATGCTTAGTGACAAACTTACCTGGAGCTTCATAACATCTCCACAGGCTGGAGCGCCAACCAAACCAGTCCCTACATTCTTGGAGTTTTTGTCCAGTGTGCCCACATTTCTTGGGTTCTCATAATGATCCACCACCTACAGAAAGAAAAGAGAGAAATGTCAAATTCAGTTTTAGCAAGTTCACAATAAAACATAAAAAAATAAAACATATTTGACATAACAATTGTGGAAAATGGAACAACTTTTACAAAATCAAATTACCCTGGGGATAAATACATTATTTCTGATTCTGTTTGATGACATTATTCCACAATACTGTTATAAATGTATCCTGGGAGGCTTTTGCATCTTTCTCGAGCATCTCTGTTATACAACTGCACGTTTTGACCATTACTTAAGAGACATTGGAATAAACAGATTAGGACCAGATTTCAATGTCAACTAAATAAACTGCTGCATCCTGCCCTCCTCCCCCTAATTCTGCTGAGTCACTCTGATTTACACAACATAAAGTGTATGAGATTGTATCACAAAATAACCTTTAAAAAAGCCAACATTTGCACCCTTTATTATAGTAAGTTTGTGTTTGTTTGTCCTCAAAATGTAGTTACACAAATGTATGACCTTTAAAAAAAAATGTGTTTAACTATTTGTTTAGAATTGCTTATTTAAAACAATTTACTTTATGATCTTTTAAGGATATGTTTTGTTTACATCTTTAAATGCTAGAAGATGCAGAACCATTATGCTAAATGTAAAGCTAAGTACGTCACAGCAAATAAAAGCACGTGAAACAAAAGGTATAGGCCTTCGCAGTTTTAAACATTTAGAGAGATGCCGTTTACCAATATTATAATTATAAATCGATTATATCACTCTCTCTCCATGTTGCATCAGAGGATCACATTGCACAATGAAACCCAAACTGAACATGTGGATTAACTAGACATGTTTATGATGCTGCATTGCATCAAGAACAAACACACATTTTCCTAAGGAAGGCTATGTAACAGAAGATTTGCAGGTTTCTAGCACTCTGAATAAAGCTCATTAATCAGATGTAATTCAAGTATTAAATTGTTGGCAGTGGCCAGCTGATTAGATTAGTGACGTCCTGATTTACTGACAAGCTAGCATGAAACAATGTTGTTAACATAACGCTGTCGGTGGTTAACCAGCTGTTTCTAATTGTATGAGCAATGTAACCCCGTTTCTCATGATACTCCATTTAAGCCGCTACTACTCAAAGCTAGTGGTAATAGTGAGTAAACATCAGCCAAACAGCAGCTAGCTTACAGTGAACTCTCCCCATGGTGAGGCTAGAATAAGTGTTTTACCTTCTTGTGGTAGCAGCACTGGGTGATGAACTCCGGAGCAGAGAGCCTCCTTGTGAGAAGAGCCAGAGGACTGAGACATGTTTTAGCAACGGTACCCGCCATGTTGACAATTTAGACGAATGTCGCAGTTTGGGTAGAGGGCAGCTAGAAGCTTCTTGTGCAACCTGTGTGCACACGTCACTGCTCGGGGAGGGGCTTAAGTAGTCGCGTCTGCGCATGCCCGGTTTATGTAAACAAACACTTTTTTTGTAAACATAATTGGTTATGAATGATAAGAGCAACGTATACGTAATATTTATGAAAGAAGTAGCATTCCTCATAATTTATTTTTGGACAACATTTTTACAGTGACTGTTAACATTTTACAATAAACCAATTGAATTTTTTGATGATGATGAACCATTATGTTTATTAGTTTTGGACTTGAAGGAAAGATAATTATGTTCTGTGCATCCCATCCTTATGTTCAAAATAAAATGTTGTTATAAATCTTTAACATAATCAACATGGATTTTATTGTAAATGTAAAGATTATGGAAAATGTTACATAAATAATATAAATAATATATTAACATTGTCAAACTTATAAAGATATAATTAAAATAGCTCTGTACTTTAATCATTATCTTTCTCAAACTGAGAATGCTGGACCTTCATTTTCAAATTAGTATTTGGTACATTGTTGTTTCACTTATTTCACCACCACTAAAAAGCATTATGAAACAATTTCCTGGGAATGGGTATAATTGGCTGTTTTAATGAAAATAGAACACCATGTTTTTCACTGTCGATTGTTTTGTTTTTTTGTTTTGTATGTGTTACTACAGAAAGGGTAAGGGCCACATGAGAAAAATGTTTTGGGGATGTGACAAAAATATGAATATGAATTATGGGTAACGGTAGAGAACCTACTTCAGTGAGAGAATCAGCTATAGCTGAGATCCTGACTGATCACCGGTCACCTGCCTAGTTATTGAGGCCCTGCACACAATCACACCGGAGCGAATATGTCAGTGGTTGGGAAAGACATATCGCCCTACCTTTTTAGCTGTAATTATTGCAAATGATTTAGCCTGTAACAGTAGTTTGGAGGTCAGAACAAAGGAAGATATTTGCTAATTAATGTAAATCATTTGACATCATTATCACGAAATTGTCAATATATATATATCCTTTTGTACAGTCTGAAGGGGATTAAAACAGCAAGATAATGTTTGTAATTTAATCTCAATTATGAGTTCATATCAAAATCACAAAGATTGTGTTGAAACCACACTGTATACATTAAAAATGTAAGTACCCATTCTAGCTCCTTGACTTTAGCCAAACAATTTAAAAGGACAAAATCAACATAATGTACTGAGACCAATCTTTTTTCGAGGGTCCTCTTCTTCTTTTAAATTAAACCGTGATATATTAATAATACAGTAATAGTATTGTCAACCTAAAAACCTGAGCCCCACATGTCAACTTTATATTTTTAATTATCTAAAGCATTTATTACACTAATTTCCCCCCCTTTCATATTCACAGGGTAGATTGTGTTGGAAATTCCCCACTTAATCACCTTCTGGTAAGAAATGAACAACTCCTATTAACCAAAGTTGTGTTATTTAATAAAGAGTTAAAGCATCCTATACAGGAAAAAAACACAGGAAAGTGAAGGTCTCAGCCAATCAAATTCTACGTTTAAGACTATTGAAGATGGGTGGATAGACGAGATAACAATGCACACAAGGTGATTACATTTGCTTACATCCATATGATCATTTCCCTGACATTGGTCAAGGCGACACCCTGTCCGTTGAAAGCGTGAGAACATTCAGTAGAAAATAAAAGTTATAGTGACCTATATATAATTTAAGGAGACTTATGATACATTTCCACTATATAGCTCAATTTAGACAGTGTGGTTCCCAGAGAGCTGCAGAGACTGTGGAGAAACCTCAGGGTGATGGACTTCTGTGTCTGTTGGTTTGGCCGGAGAGGAATGAGATAGAAATGTATTTTCCTGCGAGGAGGAGGACAGCACCAGGTCTGATGAAGGAGGACCTGCAGATGGGCAGTTGCTGTAGCCCATCTGCTTCAAGGTTCGACGTGTTGTGCGCTCAGAGATGGTCTTCTGCATACCTTGGTTGAAACGGTTGGTTAATTGAGTTACTGTTGTCTTTCTATCATCTTTAACCAGCCTGTCCATTCTCTTCTGACCCCTGGCATCAACAAGGCGTTTTCGCCCAGAGAACTGCCGCTCACTGGATATTTTCCCTTTTCCGGACCATTCTCTGTAAACCCTAGAGATAGTTGTGCGTGCAAATCCCAGTAGATCAGCAGTTTCTGAGACACTCAGACCAGCCCGTCTGGCACCAACAACCATGCCACGTTCAAAGTCACTTAAATCACCTTTCTTCCCCATTCTGATGCGCTGCTTGAACTTCACCAGGCTGTCTTGACAATGTCTACATTTATTCAGCTGTGTACTACAAATAATCAGATTATAAATGAACAGTATATAATAAATCAACATTTAAATATCTTTTTTTATTATAATAATATTTAACTGTGATCAAAACTTAAAGGTGGGGTAGGTAAGTTTGAGAAACCGGCTCGAGATACACTTTTTGTTATATTCCATGGAATGCTCTTAACATCCCGATAGCAATGAATATCTTAAGTGCTTTGACAAAAAATCCATAAAAAAATGTAATCTGTGGAAGCCGTAATACTGTAAAAAGTACGACCAATCATTTTAGCCGACCCGGCTAAAATAACTGGATGGCCAACCTGCCTGTCAGCCTTCCATCTGTGCACAAATTTATCTCGTGCCCTCATTGATCATGTGCGCGTTCATGTGTGTTGGAGGAGGGGCTCTATAAGGAAGTGGCAGATTTTCTCCGGTTGTGTATTTTCAAATTCTAGCGATCTCGAGCTGGTTTCTCAAACTTACCGACCCCACCTTTAATGCAACTGTAGAATCACTTTTACCACGTTGTTTACAGACAATGTGCAGAGATAAATGTTAGCAATGCTCACTATGTGTTAAATAATATGCTTTCAAATGCGAAAGCTGACAAAAAAGTAATGTTGCTTATTACTTATTGTTACTAACATCTTAATGTAACCTTTTGCATGGAAAGAACCCTCAACTTCCCTGGTGTGTCAGTGACTAAGTATTTAGTAGTCGAGGATATCACATTTAAATTGACCCTATCAATGCACAAAGTTACCTAACTAACAAACTAACTATCTAATTTGCGAGGATGAGATTATTTAACCAACCTCTCACAGACGCCTTGTGTTAGGAATATCCCTCTATATTTTGTACACTTGTGCTACGATTAGCATCGTTAGCACAGAGGTAGCTACCACTCGCTGGAATTCAAAACAGAGGCTAAACATGAATTAACGTTAAGTGAATAAAAACACCAGTAACATATAAATAAATAGACAACTAGAATTTCATTTACCAAAGAAACCGCATTCATGGACGGTCTGTTTGAATTACAGAGCAAGCCATGAGATTTAGTCAGATATTTGCATTAAATATCCAAAAGACTGTAACACAACAAACACGGACGGGTTGAAGTTCTGTTTCCCAGATAAAGTGATTAAGTTCAACCGCCTGTAGCGGCCATTAGCATGGAGCTGCTAGTAGAGAGGACAGGAAGCTAACAGTCAGCCACCCACTTTCCCAACCGTTAAAGTGGACCTATCATGCTATATTTGAATAATATAGTGTAGGACCATACCTATATAAGGCATATTTATACTTTTTTTTTTTCAAAATGCCAAACAGATCATGCATTTTAGCCATGCCTCATTTCGCTCTATTTGAATTTTTTTTGCTCTGTTTTTGCAAGAGCTGATTCTGTGAGAACAGCACCACCTACAGGCCTGGCATATGTACTACAGCGTCTCCAGCGCTTTTGAACGGCATTGGCCGTTGCTGTCTCCTCCTGATTGGTGGAGTTGGCCCAATAGCTGTAGCGCCACTGTCCTGACGTCAGGACAGTGTTCAAATCTGGATCAGTTTTTATCAGATCCGTTGCAGCCCCTTTTTTAGAGATTTGGGTATGGAGGAAAATAGAGAGGGTTGTGTTTTCTGACACTTGGTGAGTTCCCTGGAACACCGGGGACACATATTCATGTATAAAAGTCGTACAAAAGTGCATTTTGCATGATAGGTCCCCTTTAAGTGAGTCTCGCTGAAGTTGGTTCACTACAGGTAGCCTACTCATCATGTGCTAGACTTTCTCTTCCTGCATTTTGTTGTATTGGATGTCTTGATAATCTTAAGGACTGATATGCTGTTATTAAATATAGCCTACAATTATTATAATATTATTTTATTTAATAATCTTAGATATTTTCTTATTGTATCATTCACTACATAAATTCTGGTGGACACAATTAAATATTTTATCTTCCCAAATATGGTTTAATCCGATTACAAAAATGTTTCGTTTTTGAATGACCTCATTGAGACATTGGTAGCCCTAAAATTGGTACACTTTTCAGAGGAAAATGATTGTGTTACATTTTGAGAACTGGGGATTTTACTCAATTTGACTTTGATTGGGGTTTCTTTTTTTTAAAGAATATTTTGATTGCAGAAATGTGTTGTACCAACCACATTGATATAACAAAGCAATCATATTTTCCATTTTCAGTAACAACAAAACAGCTGATTCAGAATATCCTAGTACAATTAGGCTGTTGGCGGTTTTAAAACACATCCATGGGCGAGATAACAAGAAATGCAATATTCATGCTAGAAACAAGAGGGCAGTCCAAGAGAGCACATCAGGAAAAAGAAAAAATGTACATAGCAAATTGAAAAAAAAACAACAAGATAAAAGTTACAGGATTAACATTATTGATCATTCATCCCACACCTTCATCCTCACCCAGACCTCTTAAGTGTCTCATCTGATTGGGGTTTTTAATGATGGATATTTTGTATTATGTGGGATATTTTCCCTGATAGACTGTAAGGCTTTATCATTCCTATTGTATTTTCTTGAACAGATTTATTGTTATGAGTTACAAAATACTGAAACAGGAAATCACCCATGTCCCACATTTTTGCAAACACTACACTTCTGGTAAAACATGGTATGGGCACCGCTCTATTAAAGGGATGTGAGCTGTTGGTGTTGTTTTTCCTGGTTTGGGTGTGTTAAGGAGACCCCGTTTGTGAAATTGCAACAGTTTAATTAAAGGTTGTAGTAAGACTTGAAAACCCCAAATAAAAACAAAACCTTTATTTTGCCCCCCTGTGACTTACTAAACACACTTAAAAAGATGAAAATGTTCTCACCCTCAACAAAACAGTATGGGAGGGTAGATTCTGATATGTTGACATGTCAGCATCGTCATTTCCAGGAAACAGAAGTGAGAAGTGACATCTACTGTAGAAACGAGAAGAAGAAGTCACCATCAAGCGTCAATGCTCGTTTGTCAGGACATAAGGTGAGTACTTGAGAACATTTTATGTTAAATACTTCAATACATTTTCTTGATTTAAATTGTGAATTGTTCATACAAAAAGTATGTATGAATGCATCTAATGCTGCTTCATACTTTTACTTCACTGCATTTTGGATGCAAATATTGTACTATTTACGGCATCCATAGTTACTATTAAAGTTCTACATTAAAAAAAAGCATGGTTTGCTTATATGATATGATCAGCATTGTACTCCTAATCTACCAAGTTTTTAACAAACTATCTTAAATTGGCTTAACATTGACAACCTTTAACAATAAAGGTAATAAAAACAATAGTACTTTTTTTATTATGATATATGACTTGTATAATAAAACATGCATAATGTGTACTTTTGATTGTCGATACTTCATCCTTATAAATTCTGTTGATAATTCTTATTCTTAAATAACATTTTGAATAGAGGAATTGTACTTATAATGTTGTATTTTAAGACTAAAGTATTTCTGAATTGACTCATGAAAAGGATGTGTGTTCTTCTTCATACACTGTCTTTGTGTTCATCTTTAATAATAAAATCTCTTTGTTACATATTTCAGGCCAAGTTACCAGCATGGGTGTAGATTATATTGAATATGATGACTACACTCCAGACAATGAAACTGAGAACAACACCACCAACACTGGACTGCTGCCTTTCAGTAGTTATCATTCTTCTTTGAATCATGTTCTGGTGGCAGTGAACATCCTTATATCAGTTATTGGCCTTGGAGGAAATTCACTAGTGATATGGATTTGTGGATGGAAAATGAAAAGAACGGTCATCACCACCTGGTACATCAGCCTGGCCATTTCAGACTTTTTGTTTTGTGCCTTTTTGCCCCTCGAAGTTTTCTACATGATCACCTCACACTGGCCTTTCGGACTGGTGTTGTGCAAGTTTACTTCCTCTGCCCTGTTTCTCAATATGTACAGCTGTGTGTTCCTATTGGTCCTGATCAGCGCTGATCGCTGTATAATGGTATCATTTCCTGTGTGGTCACATAATCACCGGACAGTGCAGAAAGCACTGGGAGTTCTTGTCCTAATGTGGGTCCTTTCTGCACTGCTGACGTTGCCTTCACTGATCTATCGACAAACCACAGTGCACGGCTCGGTGACTCAGTGCCACACCAGCTACATGGGCCACTCCAGACACAAGGCAGTGGTGCTGACTCGATTCATCTGCGGGTTCCTCATTCCTTTCCTTATAATTGTGTTCTGCAGCTCAGTGCTATGTGTGAAGCTGAGAAGTTTGACCAAGAAGTCCACAAAGCCTTACAAAGTCATGGCAGCACTCATCTTGTCATTTTTCTTCTGCTGGGTCCCCTATCATAGCTTTGTTCTTTCAGAGTCAGACTTGATGAACCACAGCCTGGAAGTTCTTCAAACTGGCCTGAAGGTGGGGGCCACGCTGGCTGCAGCAAACAGCTTCATATCCCCTGCACTCTATGTGTTCATTGGCAATGACTTTAAAAAAACCCTGAAGAGGTCTTTAAAATCGAGAATAGAGGAGGCGATGGTGGAGGATTTCCGTACAGGTGGTCTCAATCACTCAAGGTCTAAGTCAATGGAAATTATCTAAAATCAAGTTGAAAACGTTCTAATCAATGACATCAAAGAACATGATTATAGCTTGGTGAAAATGGACTAAATCATCCGTTATTGCATGTTTTATCTCAGTATACTGTTGCCTATATACATTTATGTCAAATCAATGACTGGATGTGTCAGAACTTTCTCCAATTAAACAAAGATAAAACTGAGGTAATGGTTTTTGGAGCCAAGGCAGAACGTATAAAAGTTAGCGCTGAGCTTCAGTCTGCAATGTTCAAAACAACAGATAAAGCCAGAAATCTAGGTGTAGTCATGGACTCTGACCTGAGTTTCAACAGTCACATTAAAACAGTTACTAAATCAGCCTACTATCACCTAAAGAACATATCTAGGATTAAAAGACTAATGTCACAGCAGGATTTGGAAAAACTTGTCCATGCTTTTATCTTCAGTAGACTCGACTACTGTAATGGTGTCTTCACAGGTCTCACTAAAAGAATCTATTAGAAAGCTGCAGCTAATTCAGAACGCCGCTGCTCGAGTCCTCACTAACACTAAGAAAGTGGATCACATCACTCCTGTTCTGAAGTCCTTACACTGGCTTCCTGTGTGTCAAAGAATAGATTTCAAAATATTGTTGCTGTTTATAAAGCTTTGAATGGTTTAGGCCCAAAATACATGTCTGACCTACTGCTAAATTATGAACCATCCAGAACTCTCAGGTCTTCAGGGACTGGTCAGCTTTCTGTCCCCAGAGTCAGAACTAAACATGGTAAAGCAGCATTCAGTTATTATGCTCCAAATATCTGGAACAAACTCCCAGAAACCTGCAGGTCCGCTGCAACTCTTACTACTTTTAAATCCAGGCTGAAGACTTTTCTTTTTGCCGCTGCTTTTAATTTAACTATTCACATCTTAAACTGCACTGTAACTTTTATCCATGTATTTTTTCTTTTAATGTTTATTTTATTATCTTTTCTTTTTAATGACTGATTTTAAATGCCATTTTCTTAATGTCTTCCATTTTTGTAAAGCACTTTGAATTGCCTTGTGTTGAAAGGTGCTATATAAATAAACTTGCCTTGCCTTGCCTTATGTATCTGTGATTTATTTATAACTCACTGTTACTGATTTATAACACATTTGCATGACAAAACAGTCCCAAGTGAATACATGACTTATGTGCTGTTATGATTGTAAACCAGCTTGTTACCAAATTGATTGTTACAAGATGAATTCAATATTGTTTATGGAATTAAATTCATTTTTACAATATGGTATATATTAAATCTTATTTGGTTAAGCAGACTGTGAACTAAAACATAATTCAAGTGAACATTTTAATTTGTAGCCATCAAATCTGCCCTCTATTAAATGTTCTTGAAAAACAAATGATTTGATGCATATATAAAAAGGAAAGTACTAAATTAATGAGGTTTGTTGAGGATTTTTGTTATTGAAATTTTACAGAGCCCCAAAACCCCTCGTAGGTAGGCATATGGTGTAGAGACTGGTATGTTGCTTTGGACTTTATATGATGATTAAAACGTATTTGACCTGGTCTAATCCATAAATTAACAATGGCAAAAGTATATGAAAGAAAAAGCTTATATTGACGAATTATCCTGTGTTGCTGCCATAGACTGTATGGTTGCTGCTCTTACACAGGTCTGCATTATAACTAAGGGTTATTATTACTGAATAAAAGATGCCGATGTTTGATTGGTGGAGTTTATTCACCTGCGAGGCCTTACTGAGGGAACCAAAATCCCATGTGACCTTGTAGCCACGCCCCCTAGATTCCCCCGGATGTTTAACGTTAGCAGTGCTGCGGATGTGATGCAACCAAATGTAAGGATATTTCTCAACTTTCGCAACAAGTGTTTATTTTCACTTGGTAATTAACACAAACAACCTTTAGGATTGACGCTGTGTTATTTGTGTATGTTGCTTTGTGTTCTGTTAATCCGTCAGACAGTCAAACTGTTTATTTCCGTTAGCTACTCCGTAACGACACCTTTCTAGATGAGAGCTAACGTTAGCTAGCAGCCGGTGGATTTTATGCGATTTCAGGTCTCTTTCGAGAGTTGTTGGTCTCAAACTCAGTCTCTCGTCTTCCCCTCTTTGTTAGCTACAACCCCCCATCAACTGGACCTCCATATGAACGCGTTTTGAAGAGCTGGGTGCCAGAGGAGTCATCCCACCTGTACCCTCTTGTTCAGTGGATCTATCTTTAAATGGCCACCGCGGCTCCCCCTCCAGTCCCTGGCTCCACTGCGGCCACTGAGAACCCGAATCCCGGATCCAGCAGCTCCACTGCGTCCGACAGTGGCAACCAGGACAGTACTTTTGAGTGTAATATATGTCTGGACACCGCCAAGGATGCAGTTATCAGTCTGTGTGGACATCTCTTCTGGTAAGAGCTACGATCAGTCACTCTTGTTTACACTTTTGCTTTAAGATCCAGATCAGTCTAGTTCAAATCATTTCTCATTGTTTTGAACCAGACATGATCCAGCATATCAACATACAGTATATCCTGCTGGACAATATCAGCCATCAAAGCCATGATTTTTAACTAACAACAACATCAACAACAGCTATCATCAGTTGTATTGCTGATATCTAGTCATGTGTAGACTTTTCACAAACCTGCTAATGTATTTTATTCTGGTGATTTACAAAAAAAACATTAAATATTGGTTGATATTCTCCCAAATAATTGTTTTTCTAGAATAAAAACAATGAATACCATTCCAAGCTATTACAGGATTGCTGGGCTAAAAATATTTTCATCGTTGCCTAATCCGTTGATTATTTTCTTTATACATTTTCTTGTTGTTTGTTCCATGAAATCCCCAAACGGTGACCATTTCAATCAGTGTTTCCCAAAGCCCATTACGTGTAAAGAAACCCCAAAAAAGGTCTTTGAAGAAACAAAATGGTTGGTGATTCATTGAATAATCTTTGCAGCTCTAAATGTATTCACATTTTCCAAACCTCTATGATAATATTTAAATGTGGGGTTGCGGTATCTGTAGTTATCTGTAAAGAGCTGACGGTGGATGTTTAGCATTTCGTCAGATATCTGTGATTATTAATTACAGTTATTGATTAAATTAGTGTTTTATATTTTGCTCAGCCTTGTAGTTCGTATATGTTTTATTAATCAAACCTCTTTCCTGTCAACTCTCCTTTTCCTTTGCACCATCTCCCGATCAGTTGGCCTTGCTTGCATCAGGTAAGCTGAACCTTTATTTATTTTCTCCTTATTCACTTTTTTTTTTTAAATGACATTGTATTGTAATTGTTGGTGTATAACTGATGCAGACAGTCAGGTCTTTAATGTCTTTGTCTTTGTGTAGTGGTTGGAGACCAGACCCAACAGACAAGTGTGTCCTGTGTGTAAAGCCGGTATCAGCCGAGACAAAGTAATTCCATTATATGGACGGGGAAGCACAGGCCAACAAGACCCCAGGTAGGTCCTTCTGTGTAAGATTACTGGTCTGACTGACTCTAAACGTCCTGTGTTATGTGATCACAATACACACAATAAAGTACTCAAATAGGCACTTTTCTAAACTGTTACTGAATATGTATAAACCATGCAGAGCACCTAATCATTGCTTTACTTTCTTTTTCTTAAATTATTATAGAGAAAGAACTCCCCCTCGACCACAAGGACAAAGGCCGGAGCCAGAAAACCGTGGTGTAAGTACTTGAATTGTGATTTTAAAAAAAAATAAGTATATGATAGCATGTTTTTGTGCCAGATCAATACTTTCTTTATCCCAGACGTGTTTTGTATCAGCTGTTGACTTGCATTACACATTCATGATGAAACCATTACCTAGGATGGTGCAGGTGCTGACGTGTAAACCTGTCTTTTATCCATTAACAAAAGATCATTTCCCACTGGGATCTATTAGATGTGTGGAAACGTCTCTTGAGAATGATGAAAAACGTCAGTGTCTGTTGCGTCACATCTCTCTGACTGTATGGTAAACTCCATTGTGAAGAGAATTCATGCACAGCTTCATGTTAGTGATGAAATATGTTTCACAGGGCTTTCAAGGGTTTGGCTTTGGAGATGGGGGTTTCCAGATGTCATTTGGAATCGGTGCCTTTCCATTTGGTATTTTTGCTTCAGCTTTTAACATCAACGACGGCAGACCACCTCCAGGTATTTATGTTTTACACACTTCATGATGACCACTCTGATGTCTTTTATCGACAGCATATCATATAACGTTCCTTTAAACTATTTCCCAAACAGCAGCCCCTGGGACACCGCAGCACATGGACGAACAGTTTCTGTCTCGACTCTTCCTGTTTGTCGCTCTGGTGATTATGTTTTGGCTGCTGATTGCATAAATGCAAGGAGAAACACTAACTCTGGCTTACCTAGAAGATTTGAAAGAGATGCAACATTATGGCACATCATAATGGTTATCATCATTATGCCTTGACATATTTTCCTCTCCTTGACTTGAAGCCATTTTTCTAAATAAAAACAAGTGTTAACCCAAGGCAAACATCTCTTAAGGTGAACCACACAACCTCCGTGGAAACATTTTTTAAATCATCATTCAATTGTTCTCTGTGCTCTCTTTTTGAGTATTATTTGGTATTACTACTGAATTCAAATATATTCTCTGCTAATCAAAATAAGACCAGCAGTGCTCTGGGATCATTCTCTTTGATTTTCACGCATACATATATTCATATATGATCCCTATGACCCTTTTCAGGTAACTTTTATTGTATTAATTTGGCCCTATTCTAATTGACATTGCAAGAAGAGCACCGATGTTACTAACAATATTAACAATGTCTCTGTTTTTCTCAAGTGTTCGAGAAAACCATGACAGTGTGATCGTTAATATTATTATTTACACCTGTGTTGTTCTACTGTTGCATCTTGTCAAATGTCTTCCATAAAACCCCCTCAACAGGTTTCAAAGAATCCTGCTGAGTTACACACTGAGCACAAGCAGGCGACTCCCTGTTGTCTCTCTTCATCTATATACTTCAAATGTTTTTTGTTTTTATCTAGCTCTACCTGATCTCACAAATAATGCATTTCATCTGCAAATATTTATCAAATCATACACAGTCTGTTGAGTCAAAACAATGTTAGAAATGTTCTCTTTATTTCGGATTGAAAATAAATATGTTGATGCATGTTAGCAGCTCAAATATGAATTTATGAAACGGTGTTCCTCTCCAAATCGTTTTTTCCCCTCAGTTTTCTCTGTCACTGTAATTTAATGTAAAATACTGTAGATTATTACAGAATTATTACTGAAATGAAGATTTGCTGGTTGAACCTGAAACCACTTTTCAAAATGTGAATTCATTCTATTGACAGTAAAGCTATGTAAATAAAATTGTTAAATCATAGTTTGTCTTTTGTCATGATTGATGTGCTAATCTATTAGGGCCTAATTCTCTCATTGACCTTACTCATCTAATCTAAATCAAGACACACTACAGTGGTATTGAAAAACTCAACTTGCTAAATGGCAAGTAAAATTATTCATTATTAATTCTTTTACATAAAAAACCCTAACCACATAATATTAAATATTTTGGGCATTTCGTGGAAGAGATTTTTAGAAAACTATTAGTAGAAAAATAGTCCCTTTGGCTTAGTCCTGCGCTGATGGCTCCGACTGTTTCTCTTGAGGCTGTGCAATGTTAAACTCTGCTTCATACATAATCTGCTGGATCTTTATTTTTGTCTCGCACCTTTTTTGTGGAGCAAGTCGCTTCAGAGCGGGTACAAAGCTCAGAAGAAACAGTTCATCCTCATCCCGCGGCCTGTTGGGATACACGGTGCCATTGTCTTTGACCAGCCACTTTGTAGGGGACGGAGCAATTGGAGAAAGAGACAGTGGAAGTGACTCTTGCATCAGGCGCCGTTTACGTCCAGTTTTGCTGGTGGAGGGGCCGTGTTGGCTCAATGGCATCTTAGCCAGAACAGCCAGCTGGGCCATCTGTGCTTCTTGAGACATCAACGGGAGCTGCGACATAAACGCCACCGGGGGCTTGAGGTCAGGTGTATTCATATTGACCTTCGGGGCGGACTGCAGTGTCTTGATCGCCTCAGACGATGACGTTTCTCCCTCAACACTGCCAGACTCATCAGCGTTGTCGTGGTCATTGTCATTTATGTCTGCCACGCCACTTCTTGATCCAGTAAAAGGTGCGATAAAGTTCATAATCTCTCTGTATTTCCATCTACTGTGCGCAAACTCGCCTTGCGTCTTGCTCTTGATCTCCATTCGGACTTCCTTCAAGTACCTGTCTCTCATGTTCTTCCATTTTCTTTTACAATCCTCAGCTGGAAAGCAAAAAAATTGAGTGTTAAGACCAAGAAATCCTTTAAAAAATGCACAGGAAGATAAAAGTAAAGTAACTCAAAAGTTAACACACAGTTTTTTTTACCATTACAATTCAAATATTTACCCCTAAAAATCTAATTTTCAAACATGTTGTGCAGCTTACATTCTGCTATATAAATGTTAGACAGGTAAGGTCACCAAAATAGCTTGTGAGAAGTGTGGTCTTCTCCCCTCACCTGACAAATATTTGGAATAAAATATACCTGAATATCATGTTGAAGTGTTTGTAACTGGTAGATGACCATAGGCAGTAGCAGTGGACTTTAGATTTAGCGTTTGGGTAAAAAGTAATGCTGGGTTTCTGTTCTATGAGAACAAAACACGTAGGGACTCTGTATGAGATTACCTGACAAATCCCTGCTCAGTGATTGATTACTTAACTGCTGTTAGCATACAGCCTGAATGAGGCTCTTTGTGGCACTGGGTCGGCCATCTCTGGTGCAGAATATCATACAGCAGGATCACGGCAACTCACAGTTACTGTTATTACTGACATCTCAATTATTCTCTTGATCCATTGTTTGGTCTATTATATGTCGGAAAAGTTAAAAAAAATACCCAAAACATTCCTTAATTCCAATATGACAGATGTAGGTCAGATCAGATGTTGTGGTCCAAATCATTTAATCAACCATGCAACAAGACAGACAGGAGCAGTACATCCTTACAAATTAGAAGTTCTGTGTCAGGAGTTATTAACTGATGATCAAAAATCGCTGGTGTTGATTATACTCTGTGGTATTTTACTTTAGACTAAACAATACAAGTAGTGGCCACTAAAAGCATACAGTTGCATCAACACCATGGGAAGTTTAGAAAACTTAAGTTAATAATATTCCTGAATGTAATATGTTGTATTGGCTAGATGGAATAGGTGTAGCCTTACTAATAAAGGGCTCATGAAGTGCAGGCCTATAATGAGTTATAAAGGGGTATTCAAATATAGAAAAAACATAACTTTTTCAAAGTAAACATCGGTGTTGCTGATATGTTTTAGTTGTAAATCGTAATAAAGTTTTTGCAAGACAGTGAACAAAAAAAGATTTGTTTCTTGAGCCATCTTAAAGAGGTCATTGTTAGTTTATCCGTGTTACATGCCGCACCACCTGCTTATATTTCAGGCTGGGGGCCTCTGTCTCCGACATGTTTAATCCTACATGATGTGGTGCTGACGCCGCTTCCATGACACTTCAACAAGCTTTTAGTTAATGTGGAGCCCGTTGCGATAAGGAGCGGATCAGTGACGCCGCTGAGCATGCTTCCTTCCTCCCCCGCCTCGCCGTGCTCGACACGCGGTCAGCGGTGCGGAGGAGCCGGATGGAGCCGTTCGGTGCAACGCGGCCTGCGGCGTGCGAGCTGCGGCTGCTACCGCTAGCACGGTGCGCGCCGCTGCAGCTACACCGCCGGGCTGTGCTTGCTCGGATACAACATAAATAAGAGAGCGACACATTGCCTGCAAGATACATATGATATACCTCTATCTCCCAGAAACACCTAATGTGTTCTAATGTCTGTGTGTTAAGTCGCACACGACAACATCGGCTAAAATAATAACTGGTTAGTAAAGTTCACAAAACATTAAAAATACTCACATGGCAGACCCAGTTCCATGCTAATCATTCTCCAAGCATTTGTGCGACTTTCCGTGCAGCGGTAGTTCGGTAAAGTGACATTGAATAGCTCTGGGTGACTAAATACAGCCATTATTAACTTTTCGTCCATTTTGCCCTAGTGTTGTGTTCTGTGCGCGGACGCGGAAGCGGCAGTCTTCTCCCGCCTTTTCCGCCCAGCTGCTGCCTCAACGCGAGTTATCGCGAGTGGCTGTCTGCCGCGCTGTGTCGCTCCGCCGTTCAACGGTGGGCGTTGTAGTCTTTTGACACAGGGGGGCGCACCACTCTGAAATGTAAACTTCCTGACATTAAACTACAAACTGTTACCTTTCAGGAGAGAACAGGGTTATGAAGGTAGGCTAAAAGGTTCTTACCACATTTGTATTTTTATTTTTATTTTAGGTTGCCTACGTGTGCACACAAAAAAAGAGTTTTTTATAGAGTTTATCATTGTGACTGATTCATGTATAGGGACCCCGGGCGGTCACCTCCAAAAGTTGACATGACCCCAGTTCCTGCATGGGATATAGTAACAAAGAGCAGTTATAGAGTGACAATTTTTGTGCACACATGGGCTTTATCCAGCCTTTGCAACTACTCAAAGCACTTTATTATGTCCAGCATTTACCAGTTCACACACATTCATACCCTACCTTAAAGCCACAGTGGCAATAACACATAGTTGTCAAGCTTTGTTCTTTAAAACGATGTCGATGTGGGCCAATTTTGTCATTGTATGAGAAGTCAATAGAATATTTAATGTCATGTATACGAGAACAAACTACAAACAAATATAATAGAACAGCAATGTGTCTACCACTTTATTATGAATGTTGGTCAAATTAACATACATTGCATTTCTAATCCTGTCAGCATGTTTATGTTTGATTTCTGTCCTTTATTATTCATGGTTCAATTGCAATAATGTATTATAGCCTTGTAATATGTTGCAGGAATACTCCCTGAAAAATGCAGCCTCACATCACGGTGAGGCGGAGAATTAATTAGCCTCTGTTGTTTTGTCACTTTATCTGAACTGGTGTTTGTGTGTTTTCTGGGGAGTAAGGGAGTAAACGTAACATGCTCAGTCTTGTCCTTTCATGTCTGTTGTAAGGGGATAGTTGGCCCTTTAAAGGCGTATGGGGTAAATAGAATTATTTCTGATGCAAAACACAGCGTATTTCATAGAATTAGTCTAACTGTTGATTAAATTCCCTTTGTAGAAAAACGTTATCACCCGTGTGGTCGGTGGTGGCTTTTCTTTACCTGTTGTACCAAATATTGCTCTCACAACAACAAAATGATGGTTTATCATTCTAATCCCCCATAATGAATTTTGAACTGTGTGAACCAATGCGGATGTGGTACAATTCCTTCTATTGAGAACGACAATAACTGCTAGATAGCCATCTCACATGCTCCGCAAACTATACATCAACAATCTGGACACTATTAAACCCAAGTGAAAAGGATGGGATGGTGTTTATTGTTATCTGTTTTCAAAAGCCCTTATAAGAGGAGCTTAAGACAGATTGTGGAAATCCATTAATTCTCTGAAAAAAAAAGGTGTATTGCCTTGTATGAAATCAGAGGATTTGTTGAGAGGGGATGAATTTAACCTGTAATAGCTTTACCTCAGCTGTGCACATTGTCAGAGGAGTCAGACTGAAAGACTGCAGCACACAGATAAGGCGCATGATGCATGATTGTGAATACCAACCACATAGAGAGACAGCCTTTCTGAATGTACTCTTCAATTTGTGTTTATCTTTACTGAGAATATACAAATCTATCAGTGTAACAACACACGTCAGTAGCAGGATGAGTCACTCATTCAGCTTCCTTATTACTGTGTGTAATTAGTATGCATTGTTGTTGTCAGTGCAACACGCATTTATTTACTGATCTATTCATTTACAAAATATCCTTCATTGATATAGAGAAGTGACAGTATGAAACACATTTAAGAGCTAATCCTTAAATTCAGCATGATACAAGTCTGGCCATACCAACAACAAAAAAACGTTCATCTTTAAATCCAGGTTTCTAATACCAAGCAATCCCCTTTTCTCTAAAACCTCAACAATAAGGATCTTAGAAGCTCTCCACTTCTCATTTTATGCAGTGAAATCTGATTTCTTTTGGAGAAAGGAATGAAGCAAGATTAACTGAATCTGCCGTCCTCCCTAACCTCTTCACAAAACTGCCCAGATTAGCTAGGAATTAAGTTTCAACCGTTTCATGTGTCTGGTCCACAGGGGGGATTATGGTTTTAGCTTTTTTTTTTTTGCCTCCCAATTTCACTATAAGGGCCTGCACACTGTTGTAGAGAGAGGAGAAGCAGAAGAGCAGCCGAGCCTGAACTGTGGCAAAGTGTGTCAATATCCTGGCATCATTGCTGCTTTTGTTTTATTGTAATTTGTTTGGAGTTGAATGGACTCGTCAGGATGGAGGGACACAAGTTTCCTTTCACTATTGAGAATATATTGAGCAAATATCCAAACAGTAATGGAACAAGTGGCGCTGGAATAAAGGAGAAGGCAGTGAGTCCTGCTGGAGGCCAGACAGAGGCTGTCCGTCACGCCTGCCTGTGCTGCTGCTACTGCTCCCACTGTGGAGACATATACCAGGCTGACTTCATTCATGAAGGTGAGTGCAAACAATGCACTGTATAAAAGAGGTGCAAACCCAAACCCCTTATCTTTATGAGGAAAATCACTTTTGACACTTTTTTGTATGTTTCTGTTGGTGAAGTTAAAGGCAGAGCACATTATTGTTGTGGGAAAAAATGGAAAAACTGGTAGTAAACATGTACAAAGCGCGCTTCTTTAAAATGCAATGATAGCACGAACGGACAAGCAACCTTTAATAAAGCCCTGTGTTTGGCTTGGTTCATTGGATTTATTACATCAGAAATGTATTTGTTTGTTTGTTTCAACAACGTTTCAGTATTATGCTTTTTAGTAATGCTTACTCTGCTTCCTTACCTTAATCCAGACCTCCTCCCTGCAGCCTGTCAGTACGGATGGCCCCCAGCGATGCTCACAGACCCCTGCAGGCTGGGAGACGCTCACAGGGAGGAGCAGACAGCCGGGCAGGTGCAGAGGAGAACCAGACGTCACCGCACTATTTTTACAGAGGAGCAGCTGGACACACTGGAGGAGCTGTTCCTGCAGAACCAGTATCCAGATGTTACCACGAGGGAGAAACTAGCACAGCACACTCACTTAAGGGAAGAGAGAGTAGAGGTAAGACTATCACATTTATAATTTCAGCCAATTATAGTGCTGTTGTTTCAGTGGGTTGAATAGGTTTCTGATAAAGTGGTGTATTGTGCCAGCTATAGCAGATTAACAATGACTAAAGATGTGTGCAAGTTTAATAATCTAATTTAGGAGAGTAGATCCTTTGAATAAATATCTGGTTAATTTGTTGTGATATGCCTGCATGATAATGATGTCCAGTTCTGTTCTTCTTGGTTAATTCCATGTAAATACACAATGATCCAAATAATAACATGTGTAGAAGGCTATGTTATAAATCCAGAAAATGACAATTTATTCACACAACCTTTTATTCTGCCGGTAGGTTTGGTTTAAAAACCGAAGAGCAAAGTGGAGGCGCCAGAAAAGACTATCATATAGTGTGGGAAGCACAGAAAATTAAATTTGTATTGTGTATATTGCATGCATCATTGAAAAAGCATAAAGCCATGTATGTGTGAGCGTGTGTGAGTTACATACATTTTTTGTAAATACTATTGTTATAAAATAAAAAGCTACAACAATTATTCTTATCTTTAAAAATGTTTACTTTTTGTGTCAGTTAAATCATATTTTTATTATTTCATTTATTTCACTCTATTTGGGAAAAAAAGGTGAAAATGAACCTGACTTTATTCTCATAGATCTCCATATCAGTCAATATAAACCAGTGATTGTCTGTCTGGGGGCTCAGAAGATTACTGGTGGTATTTACCTTTGTATTCTTTATCTTGGCAGATAACAGGGATCAGAGTTAAACTACTGGGAATTGCTATTGTTAGTCCTCTGAATGTATGTTTATATACCCAGGTATTACTTTACAAAGGGTGATGTCAATACTGTATTTGTAAGTGAGTAAACCTGACCTTAAACATTTTCTATAAAAATATGACATTACAGTTACGCTATGCTTTATTTCAGACACATAGGTCTACATTTGTATAAAAATAATAAAATCAAAACAATACCAACACAACAAACCAGAGTTGCAGCCTGATCAGGGCACATACCGACATTTATTCTGATGTCTAAACTAAAGGAATAACTTGTTTCACTTTGTGTGTGCTCAGTTAATACTATTATGTTGAGCTTTCTTAATCAATTAATTGACATTTACATGAAAGGTGGGAGCATACTGGTCACAAAAATATGAAGTGCTCTTGTCCATCTTGTGAGTTGGACAAAGATTGTGAATGCATCATTAAATGTCACTTGGAGCTCTTTGGATTTTTCTTTTCTGTAAATGCACCCATGTGGACAATATAAATCGGGTAGTTTTACTATCATTTATTTTTCAAGATTATTATAATGTAATTATAATTATGTAATGTGTGAAAAACTTAGATTGCAGGTTCCTCAACAGTGCAATTTACAATAAATAAAACAATAAATATAAAAAACACCTGTGCACTGTGTAGTTTATTTGTCAGCGTATTAGTTTGTGCCTACAGTTTGTAGCACTGATGCTGCGCACATTTTTTTCCCCACAGTTGGTCAACCATAAAGAATGAAGGAAAATGTTGCTTCTCCTTGATTTCAGCAATCATCATTACACTATTTTTAGATTTAGATTTAATATCATACTGCAGACAATAACTTGAGCAGAGTATGAACAGTTGATTAATTTGCAATATTTATATTTAATATTAACTCCATCTCCTTTCCAATAACCAGTTGCATTATTAATAGAATGAATGACTGATTTAAGTTGAAATGCATCTTATTTATTTTATTCTGGAAAGTTTGAGTGACGCAGTAAACTTCCGGTTACGCAACATCTCAGACGTTGTTTTTACGCTGGTTCTGAAGTTAGCCGACGGTAACTAGTTAGCTAGCTAATTTGTTATACTTAGCGGCGTTCACGCAGTTTTAATTGTATAGTTGTATACTATTTGCTCTAAATAATTAAGCTGGGTTTCCAAAGTACAACAGTCGTCTTCCGTTACGTTTTAGTCGGTGTTTGTTGGTAAACAATCGCCCTTAGCCGTTTAGCCTAGCAGGCTAACAGGGTCTACAATGGAGGGCAGCGCCAGCGTGAGGAAAGCTCTGTTCGGGACTCTAGTCCCTGTTACAGTCTCAACAATGGCTCTTCTCCAACAACCAGAGAAGGAGGACAAAGAAAAGACGAGGAGAAAGGTCCTCGATGAAGATAATTATATTGAGGTAACTAAATGGCAGACTACTGTTTATGCTACGACGTAGGGACGAGCTATAAGTCATCAACGTGCTGTGTTAGCTCGATTATTGCTAACAAATAAAAAGGTTAAATAGCATATTTAGTGTATTTTATAAACATACATTTGGTGTTTATCGTTGATTGAGTCCAGTTGATTTAGTTATATAATTATCCTAAGTGTCCTTTAGCTTTGAAACTATTAAAAGGTGGTGTTTCATATCAGACATGTCCTACCTCCTCTTTATTTTAAGGGAAAATTGGTGCATTAGGAAATTGATTGGCACTAATCTCTCTAAATATATAATACATAAAAACGTCCTGACTCGCTTGGGGCACTAGCAAGCCAAGTTACTATACCAGATGTCTGTGAAGCTGGTCTGAAGAAATAAATCAATTATACTATTTATCTTTCTTGTATAGTAACGAAGAGAATGATGTTGTTTTACTTTTTGCAAAGTCCAATGTGCCGTCAGGCTGCATTAACCACCACACATAATGCAATAACCATAACCATTCTCACACATACACACACTTTTAATGCACTTTATATACTATATCAATATTTGTAACTATTTATTCCCCCGTATGATTGTTTATGTTGTCTGTCCTATTGCCGTGTTTTTTAGTGTTCTGTATGTGTTTGTATTTTTTGCACACCGGGACAGAGTTGCACTCTGAATCTCGTTATACTCTGTGTACAATGACAATAAAAGGCTTTAACTTTCTACTTGTAACAGAGTCTAGAGAAGATCATCCAGCGGGACTTCTTCCCAGATGTGACTAAGCTGCAGGCGCAGAGGGAATATCTGGAAGCAGAGGAAACTGGTGACCTAGTGAGGATGAGAGAGATATCCATCCGCTATGGATCATCTTTGACTAAATCTACACCTCGGTCTTCTGCACCCTGTAAGTAATATGAGCAGTCAAATAGAACATGATATGCAGTTCACCATGTTATAGATTTCGTACAGAATTAAAGATCTAGTCAATCTGTTCTTTGTAGGCCTACCTATTTATTTTTCTTTATTCCTGCAGATGTTACACCGGCTAGCTTTGAGACACCAGTGGGCGGCCCAGGGTCTCCTTCCTCGACTCTTGGAGGTAAAGGTTTCGATGGAGGTATGTATCTCATTTTTAAGAAGAAAAACAGACAACAAATCAATGTTCAGAGCATTATTTGTTTGTTTCTATGATGTCACACAACTGTGTCCAAAATTAAAACTTGTTTTGCAATAATACTCTGATGATTTGACTCACAATGGCTCAACAGTAATTTAACCCTATTTCAATCGATGTTGTATTCATAGAGAGCAAGTGCGGCGACAAGGAGGAGAAAGAGCTGCCCTGTCTGGATCGCTTCCTTGCTAAAAATACCAGTGAGGATAATGCATCATTTGAGCAGATCATGGATTTGGCAGAAGACAAGAACAGGCTAAGGCATTCCTGGTTATACGAGGCTGAAACTGAATACAAAGAGGTATGCATTTGGAGAATCATTTTGAATTCAATCAAACTACTTTGGATAACAGGTGTGCTGATCATAGACCTATTATAATTTGATAAACATTTGATTGACAAAATTGTTGCATGTAATATTTTTGTCAGGTTCAAGTTTGAAGTTAAGTCCTGCTCATAAAGCCGTATCTTTTGGGTTATTAACATTGCGTTATTCTTTTACAGTCCCTGTTGATCTTTGGTACATTCCTTCACGGTATTACAAATGTTTTTTTTACTTTTTTGTTCAGCGCCATGAACAGAATCTTGCATTGCCATCAGTAGAGAAAGGAGCACTTGAATGTGTCAAAGCTGGACTTGAGACATGGGAGTACAAAGCAAAGAATGCCTTGATGTATTATCCAGAAGGTAAGTAGACCACACTTGAATTTCATGTCCTTTCCTTTCTTTCAGACATAAATAGGTTTTGAAGGCATGTTATTGATCACATTTAGCTGTACACGAAGAAAGATTTTCATGTTGTTTCACATGTTTAATTTTTGTTTAGGTGTTAAAGATGATGATGATCAATTTAAGAAGCCACGGGAGGTCATTCACAAGAACACACGCTTTGTTGGAGACCCATTCAGCAAAGCTCTCAACAAAAGCCAGATTCAGCAGGCTGCAGCTCTCAATGCACAGGTACCTTTTAGGAATATGTTTTATAAAAACATTGATGTTTGGCCTACATGTGCCCCATACTTGTGAGTGAATTCAGCATGACAATCTATTCTATGAAGGAGGCGTGTGGCGCAGTGGATTGTGCATTGGAGTTCGGATCAGGGGGTCACAGGTTCAAACCCCACTGCAGTCATCATGTCGTTGTGTCCCTGGGCAAGACACTTCACCCCAAATTGCTCCTGTGGGGATTGTCCACAGTATTGAGTATGTAAGTCGCTTTGGATAAAAGCGTCTGACAAGTAACATGTAATGTAATGTAATGTTGTCGAATCGGAGTGCTTGTTTGAGAGTAATGCAGCAAATGCTTCTCATTTTCTGTCCAGTTCAAACAGGGTAAAGTAGGCCCCGATGGTAAAGAGCTCATCCCACATGAATCCCCAACAGTGAATGGATATGGTTTTGAAAGCATGCCATCCCCTGCACCTGGTAAGTGGATCTTTAATCCTCCTCATTATAGTTACACTCCTGAGACAGATACAACTAAATGTTTCCTTAAAGTCTCATTCAGCAATTACATACTTTTTGAGAAGAGTTCTGAAAGCAGTTTCTGTCCCATCAGGTGGAGCTGAGTCGCCTCTAATGACCTGGGGTGAGATCGAGAGCACCCCGTTTCGTCTGGACGGATCAGACAGCCCTTATGTTGAGAGGAATCATGGACCATCATTTAAGGTACTGAACCCACAGAGGTATCTGTATGATTTGTTTATGAGTTGTTAAGTTGTAAGATGTTGACATTGTACGTTGTTTCTTTAAAGATTCCAGAACCAGGAAGGCGAGAGAGGCTGGGAATAAAGATGGCCAATGAAGCTGCAGCTAAAAACCGTGCAAAGAAACAGGAGGCATGGCGAAAGGTCACAGAGAACCTTGCAAGGTAAAAACTGATCTTCTGCAGTCTTGATTATATCTGCTTCTACGTGAATCTGTCAAATCCTGCCTTTAAAAGGGGATGTTAAGCTTAAATGTAATTGGTTTAGGCTATTTGTTATCTTTATTACTGCAGGTGTGAAGGAATCCATAGTATTATAAACTAACTGACCTCATCCACTTTTGTGTTGCAGTCTT